CAGTTAATTCCGTCAACTTAGCCTCCCTGGAAGTCGCTCACAACACTTCCACTGACAATATAGGTTTGCCTTTAGCTCTAAAACTACACTTAGCCACCACAGAGACAGGGAAATGTAGTCTTTTATTCTGAGCAGCTATATACCTGCTACAAATCGAGGGGTTTTACCGAGGAAAAAAGGGACAAAGGACCTCGGGATGGCTAACTAGTGGTCTCTTCGCACTCCTAAATCACCAATAAATTAGTGCTGGAGGAAGATGAGCTAAATTTGTTCAATGGCTTCACATATCCCTTGGCAAATGACTATGTCTTACATATTCTTTGCAGTAATGCTATGTGAGAAGCTTGAACCAACATAATTTTTAAGGATTACATATATGATTTGTGAAAGTATATAGCTTATTTAATCAGCCCTCAATTGTTGGACAGTTTTTTAAATTGTAAATAATACTGCAATGAACATTCTTAAACTAAATCATTTCTTTGGGATAAATTCCTAGAGGTGAAACTTTTAGTTCAAAAGTATGTACATGTTAAGCCTTTGGAGAAATACTGCTCTCCATAAATGTACCAATTTACAATCCCACTCTCTCATCCTCAGTTTTGCCATCGTTTGATAGTGTCACTTAAAAATCTTGGTCAATGTGAAAGGCAGTTTTATTGCAATAAACAATAAATAATTTTCATAATGAAAACAAAGGTGTAGGAGTCCCAAGTTAAAGTAGTATAATAAACATGCCTATAATTTTACTCTCTCCCAAAACTCCAATAAAACTACAATAAAGGAATTTTAAAAACAAAAACAAGAACAGGAAAGAAAATAATAGCCATAACATATTGGAAGATGGAAAACAGATGAACAAGTATAATTCACTAACCAGGCCATGAAAGCCAGATCCCAAATCAGCACTGGGGAAAACTGAGACTCAACCTAATTTACACTGACGAATTATTTCACGCCACCACCGAAAATCCTTGATTGCTATGCTACGTATGCTTGAGGATGAAGTCCCAAGTTTCTTGTTTGGCATACCCACTTCTACATGACCCAACACCCATTTACCTCTTACTTATTCAGAGACTTTCTTGAGTGTCAGATATGTTCTAGACACTGTACAAGGCATTAGGGATACAATAATAAGCCAAAAATGACATATATCTCTCTTCTCCTGGAGTTTATCAACTAATGGAAAAGACAAACATTAGCCAAAAAATCTTGAACAAAATATAAAGGCAAAATTATGATAAGTGCTAGTAAAAAGAGGTACATGGAGCTATGAGTATATAATGAAGGAATGGGGAAATATGAAGAAGACCAGGGAGGGCTTCCCCGAAGAACAGATGATTGAACTGAGAGGTGATAGAGATTTATCAGGCAAAGAGACATAAGAGAGAAAAACATTTAGGATAGAAGCTACAGCATGTGCAAAGGCTCTGAGATGGGAGCAATCATAGCGTACCAGAGAAAATGAAAGGCCAGTGTGACTAAAACATGGAGAGTGAACAAAAGCATGCTATGAGATGAAAATGGAGAGACAGGTAGCGTCCGGATTATACGGGAATCTTGCCATTTTAAGTACTCAACTTTACCCTAAGAGCAATGAGAATGTATATGATTGAAGAAGGGGAGTGTAATGGACTGAATTATGTCCCCCAAAATTCATATGTTGAAGCTCTAATCCCCAATGTGTCTGCATTTGGAGATGAGGCCTTTAGGTGAAGTCATATGCTAATCCAATAGGACTGGTATCCTTATATAAAAAGAAAAACTAAGGATACAGCACGCATTCCATTTGCCAAAACTCAGCCTCATGTCCACATTTAACTGGAAAGGAGGCAGGAAAATAGTCTTCGTTCAGAGTGACCATGTGTCCAACTAAAACTAGTGGGTTCTATTACTTATAGAAGGAGAAAACAGAGTTTGAAAGTGAACTAGGAATCTCTATTATAGGATAAGTACGTGATACTGGATTGGACATGGGGCATGAGAGAGAGGCAGGAATTGAAGTTTCTGGCTTCTTCCACCTGATGAATGGATGTAGCTGTTATTCACTGAAATTAGATCCCAAGTCTCCAGTCTGTCACTACTTATCCCTGTTCCTCTTCCCTGTTCCCCTCTCCCTCATCCCTTATAATCTCCAATCATAGACCTACTGAAGCACCAGTCTTCTAAAATACATTAGAGATGGATGCAGGTATGTGAGGCCTGAAGCTCATACCGTTTGGGGGACCCATTCTAAGAGGGTGAAAATTATAAATACAAATTACACATAAGGCCTTTGGAAAGGACTCATGCAAATGAGGGACCCCAAACCATAAATTTCATTCAATTTAGGGTGCTTTAAACCTCATCAACAAAATTATGAGATGCCATAGATAGTTAGGTGCATCCTGATTTTGGAGAAGTTCAAATGTGGTGAGTTGGGGGTACTGAATATTAAATCAGTGAAATAAGCTATTTGCAGATCTCAAAACTGGCCATTGTATTAGGGTTTCCAGAGAAAGAGGGGGGAGAGAGATATAGAGGTATCGTATGAGAGAGATTGATCGATTGAATGTTTATGAGGAATTGGCTCACATGGTTATAGAGGCTGAGAAGTCTCACAGTCTGCCATCTACAAACTGGAGATCAAGGAAAGTAGTGATGCCATCTCAGTTCAGCTCTAAAGGGTTGAGAACCAGAGAGTCAATAGTGTAAATCCCAGTCCAAGGACAGGAGAAGACCAATGTTCCAGCTCAAGTAGGCAGGAAGAGAAAAAAGAGGGAGGCAAATTCCTCCTTCCTCTGCCTTTTGTTCAGTTCAGGCCCTTGTCCGATTGGACAATGCCCACCCACACTGGGGAGGGCAATCTATTTTGCCAAGTGCACCAATTCAATGTTAATCTCATCCAGAAACACCATCACGGACACACTCTGAAATGCTGTTTAATTTGAGCACCTGATGGAGAAGTCAAGTTGACACATAAAATTAATCATCACAGCCATGTGCATATGTTCTTCTCTTTGCCTGAAGAGCTCTTCTTTCCTCCTCCTTCTCCTGGCAAACTTCTGGTTATCTTGAAGACTCAGCTCTGAAGCTTCTTTTTCCAGGAAGCCTTCCTGAACACTTTCCAACCCTTAGGGAGAAAGTGTTCAGGAAGGCGTCCTGGAAAAAGGAGCTTCATAGCACCCAGTGTGGATCTCTATGGAGTCCCTCTGCCCCTGGTGAAAGCATTTGCTTATTAGTCTATCTTACTAAGTCACCGGCTCCCTGAGTGCAAGAATGACACCTAATTGATGTATGTGCCAACAATACCTAACATATGTCTTGTAGCGGCTCAACAGAAGTTTATGGAAAGAAGAAAGGAAGGGAGGGAGGAAAGGAAGGAAGGAGGGAGTTCTCCATATTAGGCTAAAATCTGCGTAACTCTCAGACAAATAGAATGGCTCTTCTTTATTATCTATAACTGATATAGGTTTGCTCCTGAATCTTCACCCCCATTGATTAGTCGAAAGGAGAAAAAGTGGACAACAGGAGCTTAAATTTGTCAATTAAAGCTATCCTAGTATCTTTAAGTTTAACTGCCCCTTTGGGTAGCTGGTCTCTTTCAGAAAAATTCTTAGTCTCTCTTCTCACTCCTCCCTCTTCTCTTGCTTCTTCCTAAAATGGTATCTTAGGGACACCATAGGTACTTGGTATTCACATGATCTCATGGTAGCGTTGGAAAAATGAGGCCTCAGCTCTGCACAATGCTATGAGTCCTCAGTAAGATAAAGCAGATTTCATCTGGCCTTTTGTGGCACCAGCTGGCAACCACTCCTGACATCCAGGGTTCTAGCCATTTACCTCTGATTGTAAAGCCCTCATGCACTATGACCTCTTAGCTCCACTGGTTCACCATACTGTTCGCCATCTCCAATTTTATTTCCTCACAGAATGTATGAACATGTAGATTCTCCTACATTTCACCTGCAGGCCACTGAGAACCAGCAGTTATCTTAGGATATCAAAATAGGCCACCTCTGCCATTGAACACTATTGTACCTGAGTCATGCTCAAGGGAGTGCAGAGCCAAATGCAAATGCAAGTCCTCTCCTTTTTAGAGGGGTAGACTACCAATTCCTAACTCTTCAGGTTCTCCAGCATCACATCTATTTGTGTACTTTAATACAATCCCTCTCCTGCCCCCCATTCTGAGATGTCAGCTAGAGCAGTTTGTGCATGACTGCCTGTTGCACTTACTTAAGCCTCGTCTCCATCGAGCTCCTCACAAGACCAGAACAAAAAGGCTTTCCTTCCTTCCTGCTCAGCAGGTGCTTTCTTTATGTCATACAGCCTCCCTTTTCTGTACCAAATGGTTTGTACTAAATGCCAGTTTTAATTTTGCCAAAGTCTGGATTTTGGAATGTTAATGGAGCTTTAAAATTTTTTTAACCCTTTCTATCAGTAATGTCTAGTTTTTTCAAGACTACTGTGTTTCTTGGGACTCAAAACTCCTATTTGGTAGTGAAAAGCTGCTTTTTTTTCTGTTGCATTCCCAACATTACAGTCCTCTCTCTCTTCTGAGGCTCATAGATACTTCTGGCCATCCAAAGAGAGACGTTCGTAAGAGAAATGCAAAAATTATTAATATGTTTTCAAAAATTATCCCCAGTATGTATTTTTCTTGGTGTCACCAACCCTTTCATTTATTTTATATTTTACTAAATCCCATATTATTTCCTGGAAGGGCAAATTTATGTCCGTTTTGGGACATCAATAGGAATAAGCTTCATAACTTTGAGTTTCAAACTTTGAGGCAGTTGCTGCACAACAGAATTGAATGAATATGCAATTTGAGTATGATCCCATAGATGACAGGAATTGTGAAAAATCTTATAGTACCTAAGCAGAACCTAACCCTTTGAACCCAATGAACTTCCAGTCCCTCTGGTAAAAAGCTTTCATGGTCTTAGATGTTGGGCTTCTGTCATCTATGTACACTAAGTTGCAGGACTACCTGATGCCTGCTGCAACTAAGTGGACGCTAGTGATTAATATGGTTCTTAGTCTGTGGCCCAACGCTTAGAACATTTATCGATGACAGTTGGTCTCAACTTGGGGTGATTTCCCACCCCTGCCTCCTGGCAACTTTTGACACTGTCCGGTCACATTTTTGGTTCACAGCTGGGGAGGATCTGCTGGCATCTAGCTGGTAGAGGCCAGGGAAGCTCCTAAACACTCTGTGGACTGCACAGCACAGTCCACCCACAACAAAGAATTACTGGACTCCAAATGTCAATATTGCTCAAGTGGAGAAACTTGATACAGAAAATTCTACTGGATCTTGAATTTTAAGAGCACATTTTGGTACAGTTGACCACTCCCAGTCAGACACAGCATCCTCTTTTAGAAGGCACAGGAGTACACAGACGCCCGCGTTCCGGCTAAGTTTGAGCCGCGCCTCCTACCGTCCGCGGTCACGTGTAGTCCCGCCACGGTCGCGTTGATCCGTGGGGGTGGCTCTGCCAAGCGCCGGAGGTGGAAGGGAGGCGGCCGCGGTGCCATTCTTAAAGGGGCCCGAGGGAAAGGGAGCGACTGCTGACGGCCGGAAGGAAAATGGTGAGTTGCCTCCAGGGAGGGTGGGGGCCAGAGGGCTGGGCCAGGCAGCTGGGCTTTCCTGTTTGCCGGAGCCGGTCTCGGCGGGCAGCCACCCGGGTGGGTCGGCGGCCGCTTCCGCGTTGGCTGCTGGTTGGTACCTACAGCCAGAGACTTGCCCTCTGTCTCTTCCTCCCCCTCAGCCACCGCTGCTGCCGCCCCGCCTAAGGCCAGCATCCTCCAGCCTGGCCCGGTGTCGACACCCCCTTCTTCCCCAAAGCGGGTTCAGGGACTAAGGTCCGGCCAGTAGGGGTGGGCCACCCTCGCCGGGTCCTGCTGGATAAAAGGTTCCAGCTCCTGAGCTCAAAGGTTGGAGGTGCCGGGGGTCTGGCCCAGCGGAGGTCTCCCCAGAACCCGATTTCTCTGCCAGGAACCTGGCAGGCGCCGAGCACCTTCCGCCTGGCGGCCTTTGCCAGGAGAGTTCGCTTAAATTCTGATTCCTTTCTCTCGGCCTCGCCTTAGCTTGTCTCCTCCTTCCCCCGGCCTGCTTTTAAGATTTCTCCTATCCTTGCTTTCTTCGATCTTAGCGGTTGGAAACCTTTTGACATAAGGTTTTGGCGCTTGGAATTAAAGCTTTGGAATTTCAGAAGCTTTAATTTTGCCGGGTCTAGGGGTTCTAGCTTCTGTTCTCTTAGGAGTTGGACCTCTACGCGCAAAAATAAGTGGAAAATTAAGTCCGTTACCCCAGAGGAACCTCTGGATCTTTTCTATCGGCTTTTAAAAATGCTCCTTTAATTAGAAACAAACAACCCCCCTCCCCCCACTATCATATTTCTGACCTCCCACTCATTTTGCAACCCACCTACATCCAACAGATCTTGTTATGGTCACTAAATTCGAAGGATTCTTCAATTCTTATCTTTCCTGATCTTTTTAGCTGCATTCTGGTTTGTTGACCACATTCTCCTTTTTGTACTGAATACTGTAGGCAGTTGTAACACAGTGGTAAATATTTGTGTATCTAAACACAGAAAAGGCATAGTAAAAATATGATATAAAAGGTAAAAATAGTACATCTGTATAGGACATCTACCGTGAATGGAGCTTGTGGGAGTTTACGGAAGTTACTCTGGGTGAATCAGTGAGTGAGTGGTGAGTGAAGGCCTAGGACACTACTGTACACTATTGCAGACTTTATAAACACTGCACACTTAGGCTACACTAAATTTATAAAATAACATGAGATTAAATCAAGCATAAGAAAAAATGATGCAATCGAGAGATGCAAGAAAGGTGTATAAATCACAGCATGTTTTTTTCCACTTGTTTTCCGATTCTTAGAATGTCAGGATTGCACAAGCATACTGTTTTACAGAAGACTTTTTTTTGTAAGCAGAAAGAATATACTATAAAGTAATGATAAAAAGTTTAGTAAATACATAAATTAGTAACTTTGTTATCACTATCAAATATTATGTACTGTAGATAACTGTATGTGCTTTACTTATATATGACTGACAGTGCAGTAGGTTTGTTTACACCAGTATACCACAAACACGTGACTAATACATTGCACTACAGCCCAGAGGTCACTAGGCTATGGGTACTTTTCAGCTCCATTATAATCTCATGAGACTATTATACAACAACAGTCTGTTGTTGACTGAAATGTTATGTGATACAACTATATTTTATATGATTGTATCCCTAGCATTTATCACGGTGCCGATACTCATTAAATGTTTATTGTGTGGATAAACCAATAAATGCACACTTGAGCTCAACTCTCCACTTAACTATGTGTTAAAATTTATCATATAAAGTTATTTCAGGGCATTATACTCATTCTTAAATGCTTCTAGCCATTAGGATTGGCTGAGCCTTGGTCCTTTTTCTTGCAGGAAGGCAATTTTGGCCTTATTATGGTATTGGGAGGAATGAAAATGCAAAAAAATAGCTATATAAATTAAATCACAGCATTTTTTTTCTCGGTTTCTGATTCTTAGAATGTCAGTATTGCACAAACAGTTCTGGTATCAACTGGAAGATAAAATTTTCGTGATAAATTGGTCTTTACCTAAACAAAAATCTAAATATTTATTCATCCCACTAACGGATTCTACCTTTGGTTGAAGAGAGAATAGAAATTATAGTTTTCTGACTTTTAAATCTTTCTTGGAAGGTAAAGAAAAAAATAGACTAGGGTTGAATACTACCTTCAGGAAGATTCATATGACTTAACATCTCTTTCTCTGAAAACTAAATGGATGGACAGATGTGACTTCTATAGAAGCCTTATATATTGGATTGTACTTATGGATGGGATGTACTTTCTAACCGTATAATAGCATATCCTGTGGTAATCACACCTTACATATTACCAGTGTTCTGAATTTAATGGACAGTTTTAAAATTGATAATCACTTCTTGCTTTAACATGCTTTCATTTACCCAACACAGGGTTAGAAAAGCAGGCTTTTGTTAAATATTTATTTTAACTCATAATTGGAAGCCTTAATCCTTTTGGGCTATAATGAGACATATGTATTTAGCATTGGTCTCAGAACTATTCTAATTTTCTTGAAGATGGAGTTGGGGGGACATATATATGAAAAGAGACCAAAGTATGTGAACCTTGTTTGGAACCTGACTGAATTAAATCAATGTAAAATATATTTTAAAACAGGGAAATTTGAACTTTATCTGAATATTTGAGACTGGAATTATTGTATTGTTAGTTTTTTGTTTTGTTTTTTTTTTAGGTGAGATAATGTTACCGTTTTTATATTTTTAATAGCACATACTGTCCTTTTAATGATAGATACAAAATATTTACCGTTGGAATTTCTGGTCTTTGCTGTGTGACAGTGGGGCAGTGTTGAGGGTGTTAGATGAAATAAAATTGGCTGTGTGTTGATAATGGTTGAAGCTGAGTGATAGGTGCATAGAGTTTCACTATACTTCTCCACTTTTATGCATTCGAAGTTGTACATGTTAAAAAATGAGAAGAAAGATTTCCATCCTTGTGTTCACAATCATTAACACATTTGCACCAATGAAGAATGCTTTTGATCATTTTCTTGCCAGGTTTCTGGAGAAGAGTCTCTAATTTTTCATAATTTGTAGAAGTTTCTTTTAGTTTTTATATTTGTTTAAAATGGTTTTGCTTTCATAATTGTTAAATGCTCCTTTTTAAAATCATCTTAGTTCTTTAAGATATAAATATTATTGATCTTTACTCTGTTTATTTTTTATACTTTTGTTTATTTGTATATTTTTCGTAGTTGTGAGACCCAAAAATGAATCACGGTTTTATTAATTCTAAATACAATAAGATGGTTATTCCCTTCTTCCTGTATAGCGCAAAGATATTTACTTTATAACAGCAGACAGTGAACCTAGACTTTTCCCACATTCTTCCCTTTCTCTCCAGTTCTGATAAATTTGCACATTATTATGCGTCTAGTTCTTTGAGATACTTATTAGCCAAAGAGGAAGTTAAACTGTACCCTATACATATATGATGAACAAATGCGTGTAACGTGTAGTTACAAAGGTCGTTAGTTTTAATAGTTCTTGAAGTGTTTATGTGTTTCATGTTAATCCTTTCACATAATTGTGACATTTGTTGATGTCACTATACCTTTATAAAGGTATTGGGTTTTATAACTTTAACATACACGTGTATTGAAGTCATGGCATTTTATATGCGATTTTTTTCTTTTCTAGAGTGAGTCTTTGGTGGTTTGTGATGTTGCTGAAGATTTAGTGGAAAAACTGAGAAAGTTTCGTTTTCGCAAAGAAACGAACAATGCTGCCATTATAAGTAAGCTAAAAGTGATTTCCTCAGTTACTTGGTGTTAGTTTGTTTTTATCTTATAGCTACGTTGAATAAACTGAACCTTTAGAAAGTAATTTACTTCTTGTTTTAATTCCCACTCCCCTTTTAGATCACTTTTAAAAATAAGTGACAGCTAATATCACAGAACAGAGGTAGCATGTCCTACCTCCCCCCGTCAGCTGCCTATATAGTGCTGGAGGAGTTGATCTCGGTCAGTTGGTCATTTGTAGTGACCTATCCAACTTCTCAGGGGACTAAAAATAGTCTGGCTATTCATCCTCAAACAGGAACTTTTGCCTACACTTAAAATGATAAAGTTCACCATTGTATTCAAAATGATTTGGGGCCTTATTTCAATTCTAGACTCAAACTCTAGTTTCATGGAGAGTATGTTTAAGAGACACTGACTTCTGACAATGTAAAGAATGATTTGAATATTACCTCTCCTACTATGTGCTGTATCTGATGTTCTGCAGATTTTTTTTGAATATTCTTAGTTAATATTTAATATGTGGGTAGTGACTTAGAAAGATAAAAGGAAGGATGAGGGGGTGAAAATATAAAAGTCTGTGGACTATACTTAACAGAGATGGATCTGGCAGATGTGAATCAATGAGGTGGTGACAATCTGTCATGAATTCTGGTCTTGTTACAAATAGATACTACAACGTAGGACTACAGTTCTTAAAATGTGTGTCAGTGCCATTTTGCCACAAAAGGTAAAACTATTTGAGGACTTACTATGAAATTAGTGCACAATCAGAAATGGCCAACTTTTCAGAGTGATAGAAAAGAAGAGAGACATAGATTATCTAAATATATTTTAATTTGGCTTTGGATTATGTTACATATATTTATAGCTATCACTTTCTTAGAATACTCATACTGCACCATGAAATCCTGAGTCTGGAGAAGCTGGGAATCTGGCAGTTGTTCTATCTTGACCCCTGGTCCACTTTTCCCTTGCATCTCTAACCATGTTATATTAGACCAATCTCAATCACAGTTTCTCTTTCAGATCTTATTATCTAGGAAGTTGAATTTGAGTTACAAAGTTCTCCAAATACACAGTAAATCTAAGGAGTTGAACTTTATGTTCTAAATAAGCAAATTAGGTGTTGCGAATTGTGGGTATAGGCATTTAAACACTAACTGCTTGAAAGCAAAGTTAGCTGAAAGACCTAAACTAAAACTGCAAATGAGTTTTATGCTTCTGTTTTTCAATGTTTTAATTTTAAGTGCCAGAAAAAGGGCTGAGACTCTGTGGGTTGGGTAGGTTGAGGTTACATTAGACTCACCGTTTACTCATACTATGTTTTTATTTTAGTGAAGATTGATAAGGATAAACGCCTGGTGGTACTGGATGAAGAGCTTGAGGTTTGTTTGGTCAGCTAAATACAGTTTTATACTTAAGCAATTATTGCCCCAAAGATCCAAAGATGCTATATATTAATTACAGATTATGGTAAAATTAGTTCTGAACCTTTAAATACATGCTCATTATGCATGAAAAGAAAGTGCTATCTATTGTGTAATATATTATCCTGCTAATTTAATCACCTTCTTTAAAACGATAATGAAATCCAGTGTAATAAGTGGTAGAAGGTAGGGCTGTCTGTCCAGTAAATATTGAGTCAATTTTATAACTTGCTCTTAAATTGCTTGGCCAGTATTAAATACTAAAATTCTATAACTTAAATATTTAGTTTGTCAAATGAAGTAACTAATTTAGAATGAAAAGAAATGAACTTTTTCCTCCCTAAATCAGATACTCTTTGTTCTGAGGGGTTGGCTTATCTTGGTATTTCTTGACAATTGGAACATACATAGACTACTGTGCCTCTCAGCTCCATGTTTAGTTAATAAACGGAACTAAACTGAGTGGGATAGAATGGGCTTTCATTAGATTGAGGGTTTTGTAACCTCAGTTTGTGTATAATTTAGTAAAGTAAAGTTTTATGTTGTGGTATATGGTTATGAATTTATCCCTATTAGTAGAATGGGTGCTTGGTATATCTCTTAAGGATATGAGTAAACAAATGTTTAAAAGTTGTTTTTCTTTTATGGTGCCAGGGCATATCACCAGACGAACTTAAAGATGAACTACCCGAACGACAACCTCGATATCCTTTTCTTAGTGTGCTTTAAAAAGATTTGTTTTCCTTAGTGGTCAGAATTTATGAAGTTTATTTATTCATCTTTTATTTATTTATTTATTTATTTAGTTAGTTAGTTAGTTTGTTTGTTTAAATCCTAATGCCTACAGTACCTAGTATTCCTAGGTGATCTCCCATCCAAGTTCTAACCAGGCCCGACCCAGCTTAGCTTTCGAGATCAGACGAGATCAGGCACATTCAGGGTGGCATGGGCATAGACATTCATCTTTTAAAAGACACATATTTTACAAAATTTTCTTGTATTCCATGATCACAACCAAATTAAAATATTAGTGGGATACATTATTTCCTTTTAAAAAGTTTCATTGTTATGTGTTTATAATAAAAATGAGAAAGGTAAAAAGAAATCCAGATTAAATCCATACTTTTAGGTAAGTTTATTTTTGAGAGATATTTGATTTTATAACTTATCTTTGGGGCCCATTTATAAATTTGTGGAAAGAATGAATAATGAAGGTGTGACCTAAATGGGTAGGTCAGAAATTTACCACTCACTAGCCCCACAGGCATGTGTTTCAGACCTTTGCTGGTAGGTACTTGTCTCAAATAGAGCAGTAATTTTAGTTTCTTTAACTTGAGAAAAACCTTCATTGTGTATAGTTATAAATATCAACATGATGATGGAAGAGTTTCATATCCTCTGTGTTTTATTTTCTCCAGTCCTGTTGGTAAGTGAATTTCTTTAAATTGTGCATATTTGTTTCTGAGCCAAATAATAAAACCATTTTTTATACTAGACAAATTTTATGCTTGTTTTAAAGATGAAAATTGTTGAATAAACCTAAGTGTGTGTGTGCACACACAAGTGTAAATGCATTCCTAGAAATAAGTTACTATAAAACTTGCTTATTTTCTTAGGATAAATTCCTAGAAATCTCATCATTGTGCCCGATCATGTACACATTTTAAAGAACTTGAAATGTAATGAAATTTTAAAATAAAAGTACATTTTCTCCTATATTTTAAGTTTTTAATAAGTATGTGAGCTCTGTGTAAAATCATGATATATATTTGTGTTTATCTTTAAAATAGTAGTTACCCGTGATATGCCAATAATCATGAGAATAGTCCGAGTACCTTACATTGGATATTAAAATGGTATCTATCACCAGAATTCCCCCTGCCACCACTGTTGAAGCCCACAGTAAAGTTTCTACTCAGTGAACTCTTCTCTAACCTTTATCATTTACGTCATTTACTTAGCACTTAAAATATACTGCAATATATTTTTAACTTAATATGGTAATCAGACTCACTTTTTTTCAGGGCAGATCTCCCAGCCCCACTGATCCACCATCCTCCCAAAACTTTATCTGTGTTAGGCATCCATAAAATTGATTTTAATATTTAAAGTCAAAATTAAGAAAATCCTGAAAAGTTTTCCAGTGTTTGCAGGGCTCTAAAAGTTAAGATCTACAGAGGTCTAGTCTCATTTTTTGCTGCCCTGAGGCTTGTTTATTTGTAATTTATCTGTGTCTCTTTGTACAGGCAGTATGTAATGGTAAGATTCTCAAAATACAACCCCTACACATGTAGACCGAAGTTTTTTATAAACTTGAACGCATAGGAAATCCTAAAAGTGTCATTTTTTAAAAGTAAACAATGAAAACCCTTTACATTTTCAAAATCTAAGTCTCATTTCTACACAAATGTCTCTTTTCTAGGATGTAAGCCTGAACAACAGATGATGTATGCTGGGAGTAAGAATAAGCTAGTTCAAACAGCTGAACTAACCAAGGTGGTATTTATATTTGACTTGCTTGTTGAAACATTATTTTCCCTTAGTATACAGGTAGTCCCCCCGGCCCTTATCTGCGGTTTCGCTGTCCATGGTTTCACTTACCTGTGATGAACCACGATCCAAATATAATAAATGGAAAATTCCAGAAATAACAATTCATAAGTTTTATATCACACACCGTTCTGAGTAGTGTGATGAACTCTCAGTCCTACCCAGTGCATGAATCATCCTTTGTCCAGCATATACGTATATAGCATATACATACCTAGGCTATGTACGCTGCCTGCCTGTTAGTCAATTAGTAGCTGTCTCAGTTTTGAGATCACTGTCGAAGTATCACAGTGCTTATGTTCAGGTAATACTTATTTTACTTAATAATGGCCCTAGAACACAAGAGTAGTGATGCTGGCAATTCGGATATGCCAAAGAGAAGCCTGAAGTGTTTGTTTTAAATGAAAAGATATGTATGTATAGTAAAAAAACATAGTATATGTAGGGTTCCATACTATCCGAAGTTTCAGGCATCCACTTGGATCTTGGATCTTGGAATATATCTCCTGAAGATAAGAGGGGACTACTATACAGAGAAATAGCTAAAATAATTTGAAGAGTTAAGTACTTTTTATGTAGGTGAACATTATTTGGAATAGATCAGTAAATTAGTCAAAGCTTTTTATTAGTTGGAAATAGAATTATAGAAGTCTTTAACCAAAAGTGTGTTTTTTGAATGGGAAGTATAAGTTGATTATAATTAGAAGAAATCACATTAAAAATGTTGGCAGCTTTAGAAAAGCCACTGTAACTATTCATATATTGAGAGTTCTTCATCTTCCATAATATAATTTCTGATAGGAAAAGTCAGCATTGAAGCTTCTCTGAGCCCTTTACTGTTAGCCCTTTACCTTTACCTTTAGGCTGAATGAACTAAATTCTGTGCAGGAATTCTATATTATGCAGTTAACTATAGTGCTTTCAAATCTAAATGTAAATTCTTAACAAGAATCTAAGCAAGAATACTTATTATTAGCTTTATTAAGGTAGAACATTATGTTTTATATGAGACACTTGCTTTATGATTTAACATGTCCCCATTGTTTATGGCATTTTTGAAGGTTAAATGTAAGAGGGGTTCTTGCTTTTAAACTTTATTTAACTTACACATATTAGTTTGAGTTGAAAAAGTATGCACATTTAAGATTTTGAAATAGAATATCACTGACATGGTACTAAATAATATTTCCTTTCAGGTTTTAAGGACAGCATCAGTGTTTTCCCCTCGGGTGCTTAATCATCAACCCAGGGGACGTCTTTAAGTGCCCTCTGCTTTTTCCCTTTAGCCCATATGATTGTCACTGATACCATCAACTTATAGACACTACTTTTCCTCATTTGTACCATAGGAATTCCCTGGAGGTGCTCTAAGGGATTGGGTGGTTAAGAATGAGCTCTGTTAACAGCTTCAAGTCTAGTCTAATGCTGAATGTGACCTAAAGTGCTGGAATTAAGGCAGGGCAATTTACAGATTACTTTTACAAATAATCCCATTGAATCCTCACAACTGTGTAAGGTTGATGGTAGTATTCCTATAGATGGGAAAACAGGTTCAGAGGATGAATGACTTGCCCAGGGTTGCATCATAATATATGACAGTACTAGGATTCAAACTCACGTCTGGCCTCGAATCTTATCCTTTCTGCTGTATAGCCACTATACTTTCTGAGCCTGTGTGTTTTCAGATTCTTGCTGGAGATTTGGGGCTAGCCCTCTAGTCTATCTTTATCAAAACAATATACAGCAAGTACTTCCTCCAGTTACGGAGGACTAGCATATGTAATTCTAGCTCCTAACCAACTAGATTGATTTACTTAGATTGTTTCTTTTAGTGGGTGGGATTTACAGAATTTCTCTTTTAGAATATTTGTAGATTTTCACTTTTAAGAGAACATTGGTTTTATTGCCATCTTAATTGCTAAACTTTGGTAACTGAATACTTAAAATTTAAAAAAGGTAAAGTGCCTCCAAAATGGTATATCTAATTTACACAGATTAGGTCATGATCAATATGAAAAGGAAGAAGAATTTGGTATTTAATACTCAAATATGTAACGTGGTTGATTTTTATTTTGAGAGTACCAGAATATAACCTAAGTTTTTTTTCTTAAGGTATTTGAAATCAGAAATACTGAAGATCTAACTGAAGAATGGTTACGTGAAAAACTTGGATTTTTCCACTAATGTGAAGTTTTATGTTTCTAAAGTATTTTATGTATTAACCTGACCATACTGGAACCAGACATAAATACTTATTTATGCCTAAAAATGCACTGTTACTTACAATTTGTTTCCTGCAGTAAAGAAAAATTCTTCGTTTGTTCAAAGTTTGAACAAAGAAGATCTCATCTTCATAGTAATGAAACTTTGTAAAGTGTTTCCTTATATTTGTAATTGTTAGGTGGACTACCCTCCGGGGACTTTTTGCAGTCCTGTGACTAATTTCTATAAATTATGGTTCAGAATTTGTTACTATTTACAGACACCATTGGAAAGTGGATATTAGATTATGATAGACAACAGTTGCCTCCTTTTGACAAATACTGGATATTAGCTTATATATGAAAATAGCATATTATCACTTGTTGAATCTTTTAAGTTAATTTGGGGTAAAAGACTTGAGTGACCCAATTTTGAGCCATGAATAATAATTTACTATAGTAAAACCTGCATTACAAGTATATTTTTCATCAATTCTATCCCTCCTTTGGTTTCTTATATCTTTTTAATCAAGTCCAAAAACTTTGTTCATCAGTTGTGCATTCTTAAGGTCTGGGAGTTAGATTTTATAATAGTTATGACTATTCTTATGGAAAATAGCATCTTAGGAATTGTTGGATTGTAACTAATCAAGGGCTTCATTCCTGGTTGTGTTATTTCGAGATAATTTCGAATCTAGGTTATTAACACTTTATTATAAAGCATCTCTTAATGTTGTCCTGTGAAAACTAGTTATTTTAAATGTGTTAATACTGTGCCTTTGATTTGTTAGCTTTAAAATTAGTTTAAGACTTTTACACTGCCAGTATTCCAGATTTGGTGAAATTAATACTTTTGTAAAGGGTCCAAATAAAACAATTTTCTAATGTGTGTATCTGACATTTGTGATAAAACCAACTTCATATTTTTAAAATTCCAGTTATCCGCTTATATTTGTGACTATATGGCAGTTGAGAGTTCTAATCTGGGGCATATTTGTGATTAGTTTTGTGCCATAGGAAAAAAATTACTTATCTTAAAACATTGGCCATAGTTAATAACATTAACACATCAATAGAAATTTCATCCTATATCCTAGATTTTGGAAGGTATTCTAAATTGGACACCTGTCTTGTTAGATGATGGCATCCTTGGCATAAAGCAAGGATTCTAATATATAGTATACTTTAAAAACAAACATAAGTAACTGTCTAACATTAATTTGACAAAAGGTCTTGAAACTCTAAAAGATTAACCAAATTTCGTGAGTAAATTCTTATATTAAGACTAGCTTAGTCCTTTCAAAACTAGCAAAGGCATTTTTTTATGTTGGCATTTTTCCATTTATATGTTCTTTGACATTTTGTTTTTTGAGGTTTCTGTGCCAACTTTAACAGAAGGTAAAGGTAGTTGGAATTTTCACAATATTGAATAGAGCATCTTCTGTTCCTGGTAACATTTGGCTTCAATAATCTAGAAACAGGAAGCAATAGGAAGTTAGTTGGAGATGAGGAAGTGCTAGAGTGGTTATTTGTTTTGATTAATGAATGGGAAGGATCCTTTCTTCTAATTTCCAGAAAGAGAGAGTAAGAGAGAAGGAAAACTTCACCCAGGAAGTTTAAGAATTCTTTGAATAGCTATTTTGATATTGCAGAATAACGCTTATGGTTCTGCAGAAATGCAAATGTAATCCAAGTGAATGGAGAGTGCTTTTAATGTTTTGAATGAAGGAAATGAGATTTTGTTTCACCTGGTCCGCAGCCATAAGAGAAACTAGTGCTGCAAGAATATATTTTTTAATGAGGTTCCTTATTTTGTCTTGCGCATTTTAGTGTTTTTTTTTTAAAGTCCTCCATAATGTCAGATAATATTGATTGACCTCCATACACAGAATTCTTAGTTTCCCTGTTTTCTAAAGGGCAAAGAACTGTGTGTGATAAATCTTGTTTTTTTTTTGAGCTTGTCTGCTTCTTATCAGTGACATGTATTTTGCAAGACAATAGATTGAGGTTAAGGGATCAGTAGAACATTTTTTCACTCCCTCTGTCCTATAGGGAGATGTACAAATCCCATGCTCTAAAGTGTTCTCAGACTTTTATATGAATTTCCCTTCCATCTAACCAAATTTCGCATCATTTTTTTCAAGTACATTTCTTATTCGATTTCTTTTTTTGCCTTCTCTCAAATAGCAACTCCAGATTTCATAATTCCAGTTTGTACATTCCATCACTTTCTGGTACAACCATTCCTATTCAGCCCTAAATCTTAATCTTTCTTTTTTGGCAGCAATTTTTTTTTCTTTATTTCCTGGGAACCTCCTTCCTGGTCTCCTAAATCAGCATTAGTTTTAAAATTGTTGGCCTTGCATAAATTCTGCATAGCATCTAATGTTGTCAAAATAGAACCAACTAGTAATCACAGCATGTTTTTAGTATGGTTTTTGTGGCAACGTAAATGACATATGAAGAAATTGTTCTCAGGTTACTATGCTGAAATTCCAAAATGTCAGAGTTTTGAAAACTATTCATTTTGTTCTGGTATTGAAGCAATTATGTCAGGAAAAAAAAGTTGATTGACTGTTTTTGTTTAACTGACTTCTAAAATAAATGTTCAAATTGTCTATTTCTAAAAAGTTTACTAAATGTCTAGTACAGTTAAACTCTTGTTTAAGAGGGTATTGTGAAATTTTTTGTCATTACTAAATAATCTTTGTAGCAAAATGTCTGTCAGCACTTTTCTCTCCCTTTTTATCTCCTATTTTCAGGAGTCAAATGTAGCCATAAAATGTATCCTGGTCTGACACTTTAACTAAATATTTCCAGTAGGAGGAGTTTATTGCCAAATTAAATTTGGCTGTCTTTATTCCCCACCCATATAGTTAGTAAGGAAGGTGTACTTAAAAAAAATGTTTGGACTACTTTAAAATCCGAATAATGTCATTAATCCGTAATGTGGACTAGTGATGAACAGATATTTTCATAAGAGTTAAATGCTGATATTTGGTGGAAGTAGAGAGTAACTCATATTCTATCAATTCAAATGTTCTTAGTACAGTTGCTTTCCCTATTTGTTCAATAGACATGATACTGGAATCTACAGAATTTGAGCCTTTCCAGCTTATGTGAAGAACTGTCTCAAACATTTCTGGACAAATCTTATCCTGTATTTCTGGAAGAATGTATACCTTGTGGGCCGCTTAACACCAGTGGTCCCAAGTTGAATATTCTTGAGAAGTTTGTTTCCTGTAGCGCCATATAACATTTCAAATCAGTGATCATATTCCTGTAATATTTAAAACAACTACATTAAGGTTGTGATAGAAACTATGTTTTCTTGCTTTTTGGAATATAGTTCATATTCATATAATTACTTGAATATTGTTTGAGGTCATTAACATGCCAGGGCAGTTCCCACTGATTTTGATGGTCCAATATAATCTCATTCAGGAGGCTTGAAACATAAATGGTCAGTCTTGTGAATTTTAACAGTTCCCTGTCATCATTTAACAAAATCAACAGCTGGCACAACTTCTTAAGCTGTGGTTTCAGTCTCTGCTAGTTCATATTGCATGTTTATTTTGGACAGTCTTCTGTTAAGCATGGTGCTTGTACTGGTTTAAATAAAATGTTAACATGAAAAGACTTTTAGCTTTTCATTTTTTACTCACCTCCTCTCCCCTTTGGAGTTACTACTTGTCTGGCTTAATTGTGGCATTTGTGTGAGCCACACAGATTCAGCAGTTTATCTGGAAAAACTGATAGGCAAAATAAATGGGAATCACTTGACAATGTGGGACTGGGGGAGGGAGAATAGAATGAGATTATAATAATTTCCAACACTTGGTCCGAGGCTAAAATTATTAGTTTATAGCAGCAGAAAGAAGACATTATGTCAAATAATGAACCCTTGCTCTCAAAGGAAAAAGTAGACATTAGAGGTTCTGTATGTCCTAAGAAATCAAAGGTTCTTTTATTAAATAAGAGGTTCTTTTATCACTTTATTAGACATCCACTGAAGACCCATTCTGCCTTTATTATATATAGACTATTCTACATGGTATGTTTCGTAGATATCTATTGAATGAATATGACTTACCAGTACTTAATAGTTTTTGCCATATACTTCCTGTGATTGAATATGTGGTAGTAGTCACAGTTGGTTTATGGTTGTGAAAGGAATAGTTTATGTCTTACTATTTTTAAGAATCCCACTAGGAGAATTGGCCAGAGTGAAACTTGCCTTCCTTATTTCTCAAATTTGGCTATTTAGCTACCTGACCAGCTCCTAGGGGTTTTTTGTTTTGTTTTGTTTTTTGCCTTCCTTGTCTTTTCATCCTTTTCACTTTTCAAAAGCAAAAAGTGAAAGCATGGGTCCACTCCCATTTGCATGAGGGCACACCTGAGTGAATATTATATCCTTGTACAGTATATGTTTAGCTGTGTTTGGGAGCCAATTAGATTAAAGTTCTTATTGCTGAGTTTCAGGGAGTTTTCACACAGTTCTCTTATCCTTTACTTGAGATATGCTCCTGGGTACATGAAAGTTCCCTACTGAGGTACCCCTCTTTTCTGGTTATAGGAAAGAAAAAGCAGAATGCCTAGGTTACATCCAAAAGCCAACCCGTAGTGCTCAAAACTGGTGTGTGTGTGTGCGCACGCGCGCATGCACACGCATAATTTCTAGTCTTTGTTGCCCACACAAGTATAGATTCTTTTACCTTGGAATTTAAGGTCCTCCATATTTTGACCCATTCCTTACCTGTAATTGACAAGCCAAGCCCAAATATGCCACAGCCCTTTGTTAGGTTGAAATGCCTCAGCCACTGCTCCTTGCTGAAGGGGCAGTCCTTTGGGCAGATGTGATTTGCCCCAAATAGATATACCTTCCTGTCCTCAACCCCCTCCTACCCCCAAAACACACATGATCTCTTGCTTCCGGCCCCTTCCTGTTGAACCCAAGGGCAGCCAGCCTGTATGATGTTGCTTGACTGGCACCAATGAGCTGGGTCTTGATTCAATTCCTGACATTGGGAAAACAATCTCATTCTCTTGAGGCAGTTAGCAGTGAGAGCTGAACTTGGAAGAATGCCATTAGATGTAGAAGAGGCCATGTGCAACCTACAGAGCAGAGGGAAAGAACACCAGGCGGGGCAGTAAAGAATGAAAAAGGCGAGCAGAGAGTAGCTGAATGGTGGAGTCCCAAATCAAAGAGACACATTCCTGCCTTTTAGATTCCTTTCATCCATGGACACTTCAGAGTCCCATCTTTCTGAGGTAGGGTCAAGCTCTTTCTGCTCTGACATTTTTTATTTTCTTTTTCCCTGTGTCTGGAGGAATTTTCAGGCCCCATAGTTTTTTCTGGTCTCTCTTAAGAATTATGGAATTATGAATTTAAAAGATAATTGCAAAAAATATATAAATTATATTCATTTTTTTTCTGGTAATAAGAATTCCAGTCTAATGTCAAAACTTCAACATCTTATTTTATTTAAAGTTTCCTCTCTCCACCCTGCCTTTCCCCCACTTCACCTCCTTCACCTATCCTGCAGGCTGGGAAACCCACCAGGGGGAATGGGGTGTGTTCTGTCCCTTATTATTGCTCTGCCTTGCTCTAGTAGTGGGATCAGAGAAGGAGGGACAACGTAAGGGAGCAGGAAAAGGCTTATTAACCTGGTACAGATATAATCTGGGTGAGTGACCTTAGAGATGTGAGCAATGTCAAATGCCAGCTCTTTCCCCCCATGGAGCACTTTTGTGATTACCTGCCCATTCCTCCAGTGGGGACTTGGGCTACAGGTCTCTTGACTTGGGCCATGCCTCCTATGGCTGAAGGCTTTATGATGCTCCCTCAGCTCTTAGCTTCTAGTAGTTTTTTCTCTGTTGTAGTTGTTAAGTCGTCTTGCTTCTCCAGACTGGCATCTTGAACAGGGTTCATATCTGGACCACAAGAAATATGCATTTTTCCTTGCTGCCATCAAGGAGGGTGCAGCTCTCAGATCTGGCTCCTGCATACCTCTCTGATCTCAGTTTTTCCTATTCTCTTAGTCTACTACACCTGAGCCATGCTGGGCTTATTTTTGTTTCTCAAACATATCAAGCTCAGGCCTTTTAAGCAGCTGTAAGCTTCCTCCTGGGAAGATTGCTCATATCTTCTCTCCCCACATATTCTTCTGGCTCCTTCATTTTGAACTGAGCTTAAATGTTGCCTCTCACAGAGTCCTTTCCTGATCATCCATCCTAAGGTCAGCAACATACTTACCATCACATCAACTTTGTTTTAATTCTCTGCACAGCATTTACCACCATCTGATATTTTTTTCTAATTATGTAACTGGTCTGTCGAATGAAACAGTGTTACAATTTTTGGTTGTTTTTCAAAAACTCTCTATTCCCTGTCAAACCTCTCTTTTTCCTCTGGTTAGAAAGCTTCCTTGCTGATATAATATTTCCATAATATTTCAGTTGCTTGGTTGTTAAAAGTGCTTTTCCTGTTCATTTAAAAATATCAACCTCATATTTTCTTGCAGCCCTTTCTCTCCCTTGGCACAGGATAAACCTGTGGCTCTGGGGGAAGGATGGTGTGGGACTCTTGTCCTCATGTCCTGCCCTCTTGCACTGCCACTTTCCCTTATCCCCCTGGTGTTGGAGAGGGGAGGAAGGAGACAGAAAAGATGTTACCTTCTGTGACCCGCCCACAGCAAATTGACTATACTCTCCTTGATTGATTTCTTTCTTTGCACACTTGCTCAAGTTGCTGATAAGTGGGTTGCTATTCTTTTGGATGTCATTGCTTCTCTATTTAACATTGACTGGCCGCGAGTTCCAAGAGTGGGGCAGGAATTCAAATGATGGTTCTTTCCTGAGGGTCATCTTTTGGATCTTTGGAAGGCTTTTCAGGGTGTCTTCACAATTACTCTTTCTACAACTTTTGTGTTACTTTAATGATGATCACTTCCGCCAATTTTCTTAGTTTTCAATGTATTCATTGCTGTTTTTTCCCCACATACCACAACAGATTAATCAAATGCCTAGCAATTTTGCCAAATGCTTCAACACATAAGAAAACCTGTCAGTTCCTTCTTTCTCCTTGGAGCCCCATTTTTATGATATAAAGAGAGAATTTAAATTATTAATATACCTCAACAAAGATTTTAACATCACCAAAATATTTTTTTCTCAATAATTGGGATGCCTCCTTTAAAAAATATTCAATTCTTATATGGAATTGGGTCTTTTTCTAGAATAATTATTCTAACATTGATATGTTTACTGATTTTTATGCCTCAATCAGACTTAAAATTATCGTAGCTTTATAAAATGTTTTCAAATCTCATAAGACTAATTTATTTTCACCTTTCTTTGTTTTCAGATATTTCTTTGATATTTTCATGTATTTTTAAGGTGAAACTTAAAATAATTTTGTGCAAAAATTCATTGAGATTTTGATTATAATAGTGGTAATATAAATTGACTTGGGAGTAAATGACATCTCTTTAAACTTCAGTCAAAGAAAATCTTTTATTTAGGTCTTTTATTTTTCTCAGTGAGGTTATATAATTTTTTTTATATTGGTAGCACACATTCCGTGTTGAAGTTTCTGGGTATTCATTTTAATCTGGTTATAGTCATGGGATTTATTGTGAAATTACTTATGATAATGAAGAGATTGACCCAGGGATGGCTGTATAGTGGTACCTCATTGGAATATGGAATATGGCTCAGGAACTGGAACCCAGTTCTAGCTGCATGGATAATTTTCTGGTTATTACACCAAATGCAGAAGTTTGTTGATCCTCTGCCATTAGGGTAATAAAGCATCTTCCTGTCTAGTTCCATGTTCCTGCGGTTGAACCATCTGGCCATCTACTTCTTAATCTTTTCTCATTCTCACTGCTTTGGCTTACTCAAAACCAATTTGACTTCCCTTTACCATAGCCCTTCCTCATAGCTACTCTCACATTATGAATTCAGATTCAGTTCTCTTTACAACCCTTTGGGCCTGTGGGTAGTAATGGCTCCTGGCTGTTGCTGGCCACAGAGTACTGCACCTTCCCTTGTTAGTTTCCTTCAGCCCTGGCCACACCATTGCACACAGTCCAGTGCATCGCAATGTGCTGCATAGCTGGACTGGCACCTGCCCCACACCTGGCTTCTGAAGGTGAGAGTACTGGTAACATTGAAGGTGAGAAGTAGAATTTCATTACTGTTCTTCTAGCTTGTGGCCCCCTCTGAGAAACAGAATGGAGCTAGTCCAATAGAACTGGAGGGAAATGGGTTATTTTTAAATTATAAACTTTTACTTAAAAAATTACAAACTTTCTAATAACTGTACAAAAATTTTTTAAGTGTACAGTTTAAAGATTAAGCACAAAAGAGTGTGAAATTCAAAGATTAACCAAATGCTAAAACAGATACCCATGCACTCACTATGGATCCTAAAGACCACACGTAGAAGTACTGAGAATGATACTCAGCACTAGCCGAATAGCACCTCCAGTGCTCCAAGACTTATATATCTGCAAAAATTTGCTCTTTTCAAAATGTCTTCCAAGCCAGTGGAGTTACTGGACTCTCAATTAAGAGTCATAGAGTCATGTTCTTTGATGTTTCAGGGTCTAATGAGGTTGGCCTAAGAAGACATGAACAGATACAAATAGCAACCAGGCAGTGAACATATTAAATTTTTGATGATTATTGATTTTTAATAACTTTCAATTTTTGTTTAAGAATAGAAGCAGACTCCTATGGGGAAAGTAGCTATAGCTAGCTATCTTACTTCTGCTTAGACATGATTTTGATCTACTCATACATATGTTATTTATGGTTCCAATTTACTCTGGAATTCTGTTTACTCCTGGATTCTGTTGACTGCTCTCTCTCTAGTGTCTCCCCATATGTCCTTCCATTGCCAAGGGTCTTTGTATATATCACATTCAAACTCTCAGAGAGACAAAGAATCTTTGTGGTCAGCAGGGGGATGTTGTCCTCCTTAGGTGGAGCTTTGCCCAGTTGCCCCCTCTTCAGTACCTAGTGCAGTGGGATACATTTATAAGGGGGCTGAATCTCATGGTTCAATTTGGACAATTACCCAAAAACTGTTTCCCCTGAGACTAGGAGACTGCATCTGCCCCTCATTAGATTATGAGTTCTCCTTGACAAATATTGCCAGTGCTGTATTTTGCTATGCTTCTGTGGCCTGTAGTACTGAATAAGTCTTCTTGGACGCCTTCCTTTCTCTCACCATGGTGTTCGATCAATCAATCAAGTCCTCCTGAGCTTATCTCCCAAATACTTTCAAATATGTTCACTCTTTTCTCTCCTGGCTTCCATGGCTTTAGTCAGAGCCATAGCCACTTTTGCCTGGACCATTGCTGTGGGCCACTAGCCACATGTGGCTATTTGAATTTTAATCAAATAAAATAAGTAAAATTTAAAATTCAATTCTTCAGTCATACTAGCTACATTACAGGTGCTCAATAGCCCTATGTGCTGGTGGCTACTGTCTTAGAACAGTGCAGATAAAGAAAATTTCCACCACTGAAGATAATCTGTTGGACAATACTGATAGACTACTTCTAAACCATTCGCTATACAATTTGCTAGTTTGAGCGATCTTTAATGCAAATCTAAATATGTCCCTCTCTTAAAAGCCTTCAGTGAGTTCCACTTCCATCTACAGCGATCAGTTAGCAAGTGGTGAAATCAGTTTTGTGGGTTACAACCAGCATTAAAAACAAAACAGCAAAACAACAACAACAAAACAGAAGGGAAAGCACCCATGGATCTTTAGAATTGTGAGCAAAACAGTTTGAAAAACGGGCTTATGGAATATGAAGTCTGAGCTCCTTAACCATGCATACAAGAACATCTATGATGTGAACCCTGGCTAACCTCTTTCTAACTCTCAACACTGGCTTGCCCTATGTTCCACTAATTTAGAACTGCTGGTGATTTCACTTTAAACGCAGCTCTTTTTTTCTTTCTTTCATCTCTCTGCCTTCGCCCATGCTGAAACTTTTCCTTGGGCTGCTAATTCCACCTTTTTGCATGGACAACTTCTACTCATCATGTAAACCTCAGTTTAAGAAACATCTACTCTAGGTATCCTGCCTTGAACGCTCCGGGGCGGGCTGCGTGCCCTTCTCTGACCTTTCATAACATTCCGCAGACTTCCGTTAACAGGGATACAATACGGTAATGATTTTTTTAGGTTTGTTTCCGGCACTATACTGACTTCTTTCAATGCAAGTATTAAATTACTCATCTTTGTATCTCGAAGGAGAAGCACAGCACCTGGAACATACTAGGCACTCATTCAATAAATATTCGTTCAAAGAATTAACAAGGGAAGGAAGGAAAAAAATCTGCTGTGCGGACAATGTAGTGCTATGCATACTCCTGCCATCAGAGGGCGCCGACGCACCTGGGCCACAGCGCAGGCGCGCTGTGAGGGAGGGCGGGCGGCGCGGCGGCGGCGGCGGCGGCGGCAGCTGCGGCGTCGGTCTAGGCTGTGGCCGGGGGAAGTGAATGGTTTTACCCAGAGGGCCCTGCGCCGCGTTTCTCCGCTGGCACCGGCGCTGCTCCCTTCTCCTCCCCGGCCATGGCGTTCACATTCGCGGCCTTCTGCTACATGCTGGCGCTGCTGCTCACCGCCGCCCTCATCTTCTTCGCCATCTGGCACGTGAGTAGCCGGCACCGGGGGAGGGCGGGCGAGGCAGTGGCGTAGCCTCCTCTCGCTCCTGGCCCGCGATCGGGGTGGCGACGGCCACTGAGGTCCGCGCCGGGGGATGGGGCGGGGCAGGGGCGGTGCTGGCCGCGCGGCGAGAGGTCGGTGCCCTCCGTCCGCCTGCCGGGGGCTGCGGATCGCCGAGGAGCCGAGAAGAGGCGTACGGTGTCGGGATGGATGCGCCCTCTCGGCCCCCGGGGGCGCCGCGCCCGCCAATGCTGCTTCCCCGCCGGGTGGGGCGGCCGAGGTCCTGACCGGCCCTGTGGGACAGCGCTTCGCTGGCGCGGACCGTGGCCCGGCCCGCAGCCCGGCCCTCAGTCCCGCATCCCCACACCCGCGGGAGGATGTCAAGGCGCAGAGAGGCAGCTGTGTACTTAGCGGAAATGAAGTTTTCCAAATTGTTATTTAATATGAATTGCCATTCTTTTCAGGATTCCTCAGGGGTATAACCCAAATGAGATAGTTATAACTTTAGACGAATTTCCAAATACTTTCCCAGCACTTGTTGGGTGTTCAAGTAGAATCACTTTTTTTTCGGATTCTTGTATGCTTGTGAACTGTGATGCAGATCGGATTGATTACTTTGTTGACCGCAAATTCGAACTTTCCCCCTAAATCATACTTTGGCCTCTAGCGTTTCTCAAAAAAGTCTTTCTAGCCACCTGTGTGTTTTTAAAATCCTGAAAAACCTGAGCTTCTGTGGGGTATTTTTTTTTTCTTTTCTTTTTTCTTTTACTAACACCATGCTGCATGTTAGAAGCACATCCTTACTGGTCCCAGGAAGGAACAAGTTCGTTTCCTGTGATATAGTTCTACAGGAGATTTTTAAGGAGTCCTGTTAATCTAACACAAAATTAGAAGCAGCCTTCTGGAAATGAGCATTCATTAAAAATTTATCTTATATTTGCTTCTGCCTGCTCTCCCTCCCCTTGTAGTCTAGTAATTTGAATGATTGGGCATGTTCACTCTCATATAAATTTTAAGTCAGGTTTTATTCCCCTAACAAGGATTTGTGCACATAGAGGGACAGAGTCATTTAAAAGGCATCAGTGTCTTATGCAAAAAAAAAATCTTAACAGAAATCTCTAGAGTGGTATCACAAATCTATTCCCTTTTGCTAAAGAGGGTGACTATGTTTATAATTATTTTAGAACATAACTGGTTTTGTAGTGGGGAATAGGCTGTTAAACAATTGCTCCCTCAAAATTTTCATCAGTAGAAATTGATAACTTGAAGAGCATGTTAGGCTCTTCTCTGGTGGAAGAACAATAAAAGATAATTTGGGGTGCATACTAGCTCCATCTTAGCCCCCGCTGAAACTGAAATGTGTGGATCCCTTCCATCTGTAGATGTGGATTTAAGTGGCTTCCTGCTTGATGGGTGTTGTTTGTTTTCTGAGGTGGTAAGGCTTCTTAGAGCTGTGGATGGCCTTTTTACATTTTGAACCAGGTTATGTTTAGTTTAAGGTAAATCTGAACTGCACTTTTAAAAAATGGGCAATTTAGTTTTAGTTTTGAAATGAATCTATCTGGGTGAGGTAGATAATTTTAAGTCCTATTAGAGAATTAAAAAAAAAAAAATAGTGTACTCCATAGATTAGTGAAGAGCTTTGATCTTTAGGGATTTCTTATTAGTTCAGAGGATTATGCATCCTTTGGGAACAAATTAAAACTTCTAAATAAATAGTTTTAATTTTTCTATCAACTAAATAACTGTTAGTTTATTTTCATAGTTAGTTTTAGTATCTGTCAGAACACTCATTTGGAAATTTCAAGCATAAATTAAAATCCTGTTAACATTAATTGTTGTTTGGAGGATGTTTTTTATGTTCATGGTTACATCTGTTAGTTTAGTCTTAATTCATGTGATTGATGCTCTGTGGAGAATAGAGTTGGAGCACAGATTTATTTAAAAGCTAAAAATGCAGAAGTCATTCCCTAAAAATGTGCATCAAATTTGAAGGTTTCTGAATTGTGCAGTGTGATATCTTTAGGGATATATCTGTTTTATTTTTTTGCACTTCTGTGGAAAATTTTGTGAACATCTTTGTCCAGATGCATTGTTGCAAAAGATTTAAGTACTGCTAGTTTAAGAATCTTTTCAGAAGAGTTTTGAAAACTACCTTACAGCGCTCAAACAAACCCATTCAGCTACATACTCAATTAAAGTTCCTTTGAAATCATCTGAAGAAAATGTTCGATCAAAAAAAGATTAGTTTTAAAATCTAAGTTCTATGCTCTGTTATTAAATTGGATCTTGTTATAGGCAGGTAATTTGCAATCATGGTACTTGTCTTGAACTTTATTACCCAAATGAGTTGGGGATATATTACAACTGATATCAGGTAATTGACTCATAATGTTCATAAGTAATCAGAAATTAGTCTCTTCTAATTGTACATTTATATTTTTAACATTTCTTTGTGTCAGGGTTCATTAGCAAAGGAAAAATGCCTTTTGGTGAGTTGCGTGCTTTTTTAAAGCATAGAGCTATTGTTTTCTCTTTTCTCTTTTTATATTGAGTAAATATTGTTTGAATACTTAAGTATGTGCCAGGCACTATTGTAGGCCTGGCAGTGAACATAGCAAAAATCTTTGCTCTCATGGAGTTTACATTTTAATGTTTAATTATTTTCTTTCTGTTCCTATTTTAGTTAGAATTTTTATTAGGTCAGGTGGGTAAATTTTATAAAATTCTAGAAATTAAAAAAATTATCTTTTTATTAAGCTAAGTACTTCAACAGGGAAATAAACCAACATGTTAAAAGCTAGAAATATATGACTCCATGGAGTAACACTCACTCGTATAAAAATACTATTTGTAACCCACCAGAGGGAGGGCAGGTGAGTACCAGTGGCAGCAATTAAAATAGCTCCCCCATAAACTTGGTGCCTTTGGCTCTTACTTTGACACCTGACTTAATGCCACAAAGTGGTGCATTGCCCCTATTTTATTTTTTAGTACATTTCAACTTTGAAGTTCTGTGTTTAGTGACCCTAAATGTTAAAGTAACATTTCTCCAGAGTCTGAACAAAAAGCATTTTTGCCAGGTATTTTAAGTGGATGCGATCTTTTCCCCCTTATCACATTTATAACTTTCACTCATCAGGCTGTGAGAATCTGGCCTTACCCGGGCTTACCCTTGTTCAGTCTTCAGCTTGGTGACCAGATGAAATTGACTCGCATGCAGTAGGAATATACATAGGACACAAAAGGAGGAAAGACTGATAACTTTTATAGTGGCCTTGAACAGAGCTCTGCTCTTGTCTATTTGGTGCCTTTGGTGAATTGGAACAAGATGCCGCTTGGGGCACAAGAATCCTGCCTCCTGAACTGCCAGCCCTTGGGTACAGAGCCTGGTGCAGAGCCCATGCCAGGGTGCTTGGCAGCAAGAACATGGGCTGGCTAGGACCCCCAGTTGGGGCTTTTTGTCCTGTGTAGAAACTGCCCTACTGTAGCGGTCCTGGCCATGAAGTTGAATAATCCCTAGTATTTCTCTATTCTGAGATAATTTCTTGCATTTCCAGATTGAAGCAGGATTTTGGAATGTATGTGTTTGGGCACAAATGGGAACAAATTGAAGCATGTGAGTCCATCTGTAATGTCCCACTGAACACTGTGACAAGGGAGGGGCATGCATAGATGCTTAAAAACACTTCACCCTGCGGGCACAGTCTGGTTGGGGGACACAAACCTGTACATAAATACTGTGCTCCCTTGTGAGAAATGCCATATTGGCAGCATTATAAAGCCCTGTGTGTGAAGATTGGGTAGATAGGCACTTATTTCTGTTCAAGGGAGTGAGGGAAACTTACAGAGAGGAGTTGACGTAGGAAGAGGGTTTTTTTAAGATAAAGAGGAATTTTGAGAATAGTCGTGGGTGGGGAAAGATTTTAAGTTGAAAAAGTAACTTGATAGCAGCATTGAAAAAGTTGAAAATTGAAGATATTTACCACAGTGGTATCAGATCATTTAAGTGATAATATAAAAGTGTTTTCAGTTCTTATATCTGTTTCTAGTTACATATTAGCACATATTGAATTTAAATTGGTACTTGTAATGTTGGTACACTTTTGCTTTTGTTTTATTAACTTCATTCAATTATTCAATGAGGGGGTCAGTTTGTTGCTGCTTTTTATTAAAGCGAGAGGTCCTAACTATTTTAATTTTACTTTAGATTATAGCATTTGATGAGCTGAAGACTGATTACAAGAATCCTATAGACCAGTGTAATACCCTGAATCCTGTAAGTTATATTGGATTTTTCTTTAGATTTTTAAACCGTTTTTGCTTTTAACTTGATGTTTTGAAAATGGCCAATATTCTCAGTAGCATGATATATTTGTACTTTTCGAAGTAGGCAGAATTAAAAAATATATTCTTTTTCCTGTCCTGCTTGACTGTTCTGACTATTATTAATCTACTGGTGATCTTGTCAGCTGTCATACTAACAATCTTCCAATCTGCTTTTTACATTGTCGGCCAAAGACAGTTGAAAAAGTCAAAAAGATTAAAAGAGTCAAAATTGCATTAAAGGTGTGTACTGCTTTTTAGTTTAATGTTTTAATGCTACATTCATATCATGGGGAGGGTTAGGGCATTTGTATCTGTAAAATGTTCTGTTCACTGTGCTTGTTCATATGCCTGTTGAGGTTTATGATTTCTTGAAATTTCATATTTTATGCAAATGTTTGCTTGCTGGCCCACAGGGAAAGCTGTTAAATGCTTATGCATTAAAAAAATGTTATATTCATAGGCACTTCTATATTAAATTATTTAGTGCATTGTTTGGCAGTTGGTTAACATAAAATGACTTTAATAGACAAGATTTATTCTCCTGTTGTGACTTACTTTGACATAGTCTGCAAGTGGAGTCTTTAGTACCCTATCTAATTTAAACTTTGGTTATGTCCATTATGGAATTAATTCACTTTTTCAGCTGATGTTTTTTCAGAACCTTTTAAGTTGGATAATTGTTCTTAGGATCTGGAATCCTGTGTAATGCTGACCTCTGGACTTCCATGCTCTCTGAATTTTGTAGATAACAATTTGTATACAAATGTCTGCATAGTTATTTCTAATATATATCCTCTCTAAATTTCTAAAACAGACTTGTCTTACATTGAGCTCTGATGGATTTAATTATAATGTGGCTCCATTGTGCATAGGGGTTCTATATATATTTTTGACTTCATTTAGTTTTCTCATTTAGAATGATTCTCCTTTAGTCTGTAGGTTTGATTTTATGTAACTGGTCAGAAACTGAAAGGTTGTTTGTAAGAAAACAGTGGATAGGTTTTCAGGAAGTAAAGTACAATAATTCATTTTAAAAATAATGATGAGAACTTGTGTAGACTTTAGTTGTCTAAAACCATAATGCACTAGCATGCTAGAGAGATTTTATTTGGAAAAGCATCTATAAAGTTAGTTTGCTACTTTATTATTGTTTCCTAGATAAATATGAATGGTAGAATAGATTTCTAGTTTGTCTTTAAAGAACTGTTACAGTAAGACTTGATGTAGGTCCATTTAAAAGTATTAACTTCCTAGCTGTTTCTCTGCTGTTATGAAACAAAATAAGATGAATCTGCCTTCTCCTTGGAAAGTTCATTGGAAAACATGTTAACTTACTTTTGAAACTAATTGTTACCAAGAAATTTACAAGCTGAAATTTCTTTTTTTGACATCTGTTTAATAATCGTATTCTATCTTCTTTGGCTTTTCATTACTACAAAAGCCAAATGATGAGGATAGTATTAGCTAAAATTAGATGAGGGTTTTCCTGGGTTTCAGGCTCTGTGCCAAGCATCTTTATCTAGTTTTTTTTTTTTCCATTCAGTTCTCATGACAATCCTGAAGTAGGTATAGTGTCATTTTCATGAATAGGAGAGCAAACTGAGGTTTAGCGATACTAAAGTACTTAGCCCAAAGTCACACAGCTAGAGTAGAGCTAGAATTCGAACCCAGGTAGCCTGATTTTTAAGCTCAAACTCTTGTAGTTTTCCAAATTTACTATGAATTTAAGAGGGACTAATTTCATTTTAACATTTAATGTGTGATTTCTGCCTTTTCTTAATGGAAAGAAATTCTCACTAAGAAGAGACATGCTTGGGACATCCTAATGCTACAGAAGGTTGGAAGGTTTTTATACAATCATAAATTGTGTTTTGGATAGGGTGCTAATAATTGGCCTAATAGCAGTGCATCTGACAGTTTTCCCTATTAAAAATTTGTTTTGACAGTTCTGCCAAAGTATGGGGGAAGACAAATATTATTTTAAAAAATGTGAACCTTAATTAGAGAATATTATGATTTGCATGTTTAAGTACTCATTTCAGCTGTATTTTTTCTGGATACTAGTTTTTGTGTAAATGTTGATTCCTAAATGGGATAATTTTTGTACCACTTAATGGGGAAAATTTCATTATTAATAGATTGGAATGATTAGAGAGGACTGGTTTTTATAAGAGGTATGTAATAAAAAGTTCTGGACCTATTTTTGAGAAGTGAGAGCATGGTATTTGTTTCATATTAGAACTGGTAGAGTTGTGGATTATCTTTATTTTCACTCTTAGTAAAGTATATTGTTTAAGGCAATGGAGATCATACTTTCAAATCATTCTCTCCCCATACCTCAGCTTGTAAGTATAGGATGAAAATTTGGGTAATAATTTATATTATGAGATATCAGTTGGCTTTCAGAGGGCTGAAATAGGCTTATTATTTTTTAAAGAAAAAGTTCATAATTTAAAATAGGATTGTGAACAGCAGCCCTAATGGAAATCCTAATGTCTATTTTTCTTGATTTGTCCTGGTTGTAGTCACTGAGTTTCAGAGGTTTCCTATGGCCATTTTCTTATTTAGTGTAGGTGTTTAACTGTGATGTTCAATAAATGTTGGCTTAAAGGTTCATGTTAGTTACAACTTTATAAACATATGCAGAGTTTATCGTTTGTTAGTATAGTGTTTAAGTTTGTAGAAAATATCTGGTTAGTAGTATAGGTTAGTTGGTTTTACTGGGATTTCATTTAAAATAGTATTCATGAAGGACTTCTCTCTATACCTTTAAATTGGAAAAAGTAATTTGGGAGTATTAGAAAACGGGCTTGAATATGGAGTGTAACTATAATGTTTCTACAGCTATGGTTTCCCCTCAGGAAAGATCTGATTATGTTGAGGATTCATGTAATTTTAATTGGGTATGATGCAGACTTTTGGGAAACTGACTTTGCAGCTGTGACTTGTAGGAAGTCCTTTGGCTGAAACTTGTAATGAAAGATGTTGGTATTTCTATTGAACAAAGTCATTAGGCTGAAACCTTAAGAATAAGAAAGATAATTTAAAATAAAGCATTAACTCCTGTTCATTTTATAAAAAGCATTTTGCTTGAATTAATTTTCCTCATTTAATACTACCTACTATCAAATGATTTATTTTGTTCTTGAGTTCTGAGCTTCTACAGATCTGCCCTGTCTGTAGCATTTCATTGGAAAGCCGGCTTAAAGAAACAGGAAGGCCATGTAAGAATGGAAGCTCAGGAACGGGAAAATTCCAATTTCATGGGTCAGAACTCAGTCTGTTCCCTCCTACATTGCAGAAAGCACATCGTTTGCATTAGTGCATATTAGCATTCTTTCCTCCCTGACTGTGCTGAGATTATTGGCTGTTGGCTTTCCATTGAAAAATTACTTTTGTGCTAAATGTGATGTGGGTTGCTAAATAGTGTATATGTAGCTTTCCTGGTTTATGTTAAAGACTTAAAAACACTAATGTATAAACTTCTATAGGAGAGTGTTTTTGTGTGTGTGTGGATTTTTGTTATATCATGTTGCATGTGATCAGATATCTCATTTTTGTATTTTTATCATTGTTGAATGGTGGAAAGAAAAAAGCACTCCAATTGATTAGCAAAGAACTGTGTTTGAACAATCTGGGTGGTAACTTTGTATAATGTAATCTGTTGCTATGAGAATTTGAGTTTTAAATTTTAAGTTTTACCTTAATTCTTTTAGTGCAAGCTATATCCTCTGGTCAGTTTGCTTGTAATCTTGCTTTTGGTAAAAAGGTAAATATAGGAATAAAACTCAGTAGCGCCTTTATCTTTGATTCTTTGAAAACAGTGATTTTTCACTATGGAAACTTGGTTGCCACCTGCTTTCCAAATTAGCATTTGACTTAATGCCCAGGCATTTTGATGACCGACTTGTATTTTTCTTCCAGCTCGTACTTCCAGAGTACCTCATCCATGCTTTCTTCTGTGTCATGTTTCTTTGTGCAGCAGAGTGGCTTACACTGGGTCTCAATATGCCCCTCTTGGCATATCATATTTGGAGGTAATATTTAGATATACTTCTAATATTTTTCTTAATTAAATTTTAATTGTACTATGGTCGATATGGTTTTCTTACATGTTAGTCACCGAAATGAAAACTGAAAATTAGTTGGCATTTATTTTAAAAATCAAGTAGATGAACAAATAACTGTTTTAAAATAACCTCTTACGGAGCTTACTCTTTAAAGAGGTTTTTTAAAAAATGAGGTATAACTTACATATAATAATGTGTATAAGTCTATAAAGTATACAGCTCAATGAATTTGTACATACATATACACCAGTCAAATCACCACCCAGATTGAGACATACAATCTCCTGCCCTGCAGAAGATTCCCTTGTGCCCCATCCCAAGGAGAACCATTGACCTCTAAAAACTTAGATTAATTTTGCCTGTCTTTGAACTTGATGTAAATCTATATGTATAATGTGTACCTAACTTCTTTCTCCATGTTTACTTTATGACTTTAAATTTGGCTACTTTAAAAGATATTCATATTTCATAACTTCTAAAAGTTCTCTCTTATCTGTATAGTTTTTTGTTTTAAATAGGCATGTAAAAATCTCATTGCCCTTGATTTTAGGATCTATATACTGAGGAAGTGTTTAGGTGTATAACTGGTATCACAACCATAGCTGACTCTGGAATGGTTAAAGAAATGTATGTATAATTAGAGATAGAATGAGAAAAAAGAAGGATAAAGCAAGTGTGTTAAAGGTGAACATTTGGAACATCTGGGTGAAGTGTTCTTGTACCTTTTCTGTAAGTCTAAAATTATGTTAAAGTCTTATTTTCTTTTTATAGTTATTCCTGTTAGATTTCCAATAAAGTATAGAGGAGATCAGATATGACTTGTTTAGCTGTCCTGTTCTGCTCATTTAGGGGCTCTAGTTTTAAAATTAAGATGATAAAAGGAAAGAATTCAGTCTGTAATTAAAAGTATGATTCTCTATGTGGACCACCTCTCATCGTATCAAATATTAGGAAAAAGCCCTCCTTCCTCTCTCAAAAGTTTGCTCCCTTTCTGAGTGACTAATAGACTGTTTTTATTACAGGTATATGAGTAGACCAGTGATGAGTGGACCAGGACTCTATGACCCTACAACCATCATGAATGCAGATATTTTAGCATATTGTCAGAAAGAAGGGTGGTGCAAATTAGCTTTTTATCTTCTAGCATTTTTTTACTACCTATATGGGTAAGTTTAAAAAATAAAATTAAAATATGATTTTACTTTGCCACCTAAAAAATTTGCAGGCATTATGGTCTTAACACCTTGGAATCCACTTGAAGAATAACTCAGTGTCTTGAATGGTGGTAACTGGTAATGACATAGTACACACCAGCGAATTCATGCACATTGACTAGGAATACACTGGTACTTAGCAAAACATCCAACTAGCATGCTGTCAGGGCAGATAGTTTGGGCAAGGATTCTGCTTCCTAAGTTTTCAGACTCATCCAGTGAGTGAAGGGCAGTCCTCATTCTTATGGCAGAGTGATGCTATTGGGAAGATGTGGCTTGGTGAGTTTGCAAAGTTTGCTTACTTCAGTCTCCAGATTGTGTTTAGTTTTTCTTTTATCATTCTTCATAAACTATGTGCTCTGCCCTTTATCTGCTGGTTTGCTTGATCCAAATGGGATGAATGAAAGAAACAGGATAGTACAATTATTGATTTTTCTCCTTTTCTACTGTGATGGACTCATGTCATTCTTCTAGGCCAGGGTTTCTCAACCTCAGCAATGTTGACATTTTGGGCTGGATAAATCTTGTTGTAGGTAACTGTCCTGTGCATTGTAAGATATTTAGAACAGCATCCATGGCCTCTACCCACTAGATGCCAGTAGCACCCCTTCTCCCTGTCATAATAACCAAAAATGTCTCCTGTGGGGCAAAATTGGCCCTACTTGAGAACCTACTCCTCTAAGTGTACTGTAGGTGAGATAAAATGGCTGCTTATTAAAACTAAAAAAGAACTCTGTAAGGTGTGGAATTACAATTTTTCTTGAAGCTAAATAAATACACTTTTTTCATCTTTTATTGATATATTTTCAACCAGAGAGGGCTTTCCACCTGATTTTCAAAATATGAAGGAAATTAACTGTATGAGATGAAATCATTATAATAATAGCTTCCATTCCCTCTAGTTGTTACTTGAAAACTTGCTAATTATTAGATGGTAGGTTTATATTCATAGTTCTCTTTACATCATATAAATTTCCATGGTAGAAAAGTATATGTGAGGTGCTAGACTGGAATTTAGGAAAACATTATTTTTTATGCTTTTTGAGGTTATAACTGAATATGAGTATCCTTTAGTGTATCTACAGATGTTATTGATATATGAAACAAAGATAGTGAATATGTTCTGAAAAGTGAAATTCCACGTGTCATTCTAATTCCTGTTTTCATTTTTAAGTTTCTGTAACCCATGTCTGGAACAGTGTTGGCATATAGTAGGCACTTAAAACATACTTGTTGACAGAAAAAAAAGATGAATGATTGGATAAATGATAAATTTGGAGATGTGCTGTTGTGGGGAAAATGTTCATCAGGAGATGGTGGCACTTAGGCCTTTGTTTGTTTTAAATTGTCTATTGGGTTTTCTTACTTTCTTGCTTTGTATTTCCATGTAGAGATACATTTTTGAACTACACTTTCCCACATCTTTCTATAGAATTTTCTGGCATTCCTTAAACCTAAATCAAATGGTTATTTTGCTTGTTTGTCCCCTTTTTTTAACCCTATCGCTGTTGCCTGGAGCTTTTCTCTAATGGGAAGGTTCCTTAATTGACCATTCCTATCTGTAAAATGGGGATGATAATAATACTTACCTCCTAGGACTGCTTAGAGGATTCAGCGAGGTCATATATAAAAGACCTAACTGGGCCTGGCATGAAGCGAGCCCTCCGGACATGCTTGCCCCTATTATTAGACCCAACTTCAGAGCAATGCACTGTTTTGGCTTTTTCCTCTAAGCTCTGATCCCCTATTAAGCTTTCAGCTGTGCTGTTCTACTTGCTAAAATTGGAAAGGAAATAGGGGACAAGTGTAGCATTTGCACTGAGCCAAGTCCTACCGTAGGCAAAAGTCCATAAATGCAAATTAAAACCATATTGTGAACTTGTCACTGGTCTTTTTAGTTTGTGTGATGATGTGATACTAGAAACTCATTTGCTATATAAAGCAGACTCACCTTTTTGGTGCTCTTAGCTTTTATAATTAGGAATGTTTGAATTAACAGCCTTTTTCTTCTTTTCAGCATGATCTATGTTTTGGTGAGTTCTTAGAACAACACACAGAAGAATTGGTCCAGTTAAGTGCATGCGAAAAGCCACCAAACGAAGAGATTCTATCCAGCAAGATCCTGTTTCCAAGAGTAGCCTATGGAATCTGATCAGTTACTTTAAAAATTGACTCCTTATTTTTTAAATGTTTCCACATTTTTTGCTTGTGGAAAGACTTTTCATATGTTATCCTCGGATAAAGAATTTAAATGGAATTATGTTTAAATTAATATAAAATGATTACCTCTGGTATTGACAGGTTTGAACTTGCACTCCTTAAGGAACAGCCATAGTCCCTTGAATGATTGCATTAATTATAGACTGTCCTTAGTCCATTGGAAGCTTTTGTTTATAGGAACATGTAGGGCTCATTTTGGTTTTATTGAAATGCCATCTAATTATAAATTAGCTGTAGATATCAGGTGCTTCTGATGAACTGAAAATATATATCTGATATGTGGGAAACTTCATGGGTTTCCTCATCTATCATGTAGGTTATTAAATATGGATACATTAAAAAAGTAAGGGTGGGATTTTTTCTTTGACTTGAGTATTATCCCTGCATATTGCATGAATGAAAGATTTCCCATATTTCCATCAGAGTAATATACTTGCTTTAATTCTTAAGCATAAGTGAACATGATATAAAAACATGCTGAATTATGAAGAATGCATTTAAAGCTATTTTAAATGTATTTTAATTTGTAAGACGTTATCAAGAAATTGGTTATTCTACTTACTGTTCTAATCTGGTGGTAAAGGTATTCTTAAGAATTTGCAAGTACTTAGATTTACAAAACTGAATGAGAGAAAATTGTATAACCATCCTGCTGTTCCTTTAGTGCAATACAATAAAACTCTGAAATTAAGACTAATTTTCAGTGCATTATTTTAAAGATTACAAATAGCTATTTCATAAACTTGCTTAATCCATAATAAAGACATATAACTCAATTTGAAAAAAATACTAGATGAGTTTTTTTTTTGTTTTTTGTTTTTTTAAATACCATGTCTGGATTTAAAAAGGAAGATTTTTAAATGGTTAAGCACATTACATTTTATTGTCACTTGACAAAATTTATAACCATTGATGGTGCTGCATCATCATTTTTCTTACTAATTTAAAAAATTATTGTGGCACTTAAAATGTTTTAATTTTTTTTCCTTTTTGAAACAGCAGGTTTTAAGGTAAAATGACTTATAAATTTGAGTTTTTGCTACTTCTTGTAAGGCAGGTAAATTATGGCTTGCATGTTTTTATAAGCGTTTTTGTGCTTTATTTGGGTTGGGGAAGTTAAGGCAGTTGAAAATAGTGCACATGGTTCAGAATTTCTTAAAGGATGAAAGAAAACCAATATATAGAAATTCCACATAATGATCAAGGGAGTTTATGGATGTCTTTGTGGCAGTCTAAGAAGCCCTCGAATTAGATGCTGTTTTACTTTCTATTAGTGAAAAAATGCTTCCCCACCTTTGGGAGAGTAGCTGTTACCGTTTTGCGATTGGGTAATGGAGTTGAGTACGTTGAAGAGAATAGATCTACCATAAGATTGAAGAGAGTCTTATTTCATAATGAGAGAAGCTTTGAAGACCTTGTTTTTGCTAGTCTGGAGAATGCCTTGAGGGATCTGACCTTTGGTCTGTTGTTGCAGTAAATTATTTATTGAGCACTTGCTAGGCAGTGAATATTCATGCTTTGAGTATGAGCAGTGATTCAGTTTCTGATCCACCTAATTATGTCAGCACACACTTATTATTATTCTTTCTTGTTCACAAGTATTTTTGATCATGAAAGACCTGGCCAAGTCTTCTGTCCTCCAGATAAGTTCCCTGGGGCTGTTACTTTCGTATTCCTGTCAGTATTTTCACAAGCCCTTGCTGTCTTAGCAAACATTCCTTTCTAAGTTTTAAAAAACATCCTTTTAATAATCTATTCCAGAATATTCTCCAGAATTAATGCAAGATTTATTGGTTGCAATTTGTGGAAGCTGCCTTCTCATGCTTCAGAATTTAGATTTATAGTCCTTAGCTGATTCCTCAAAGATGATCGACAGTGAGGTTCACCCATCTTGGTGGTAGGTTGTTAATTCTTAGGCATGTAAGTTTTTAGAAGATTGAGTACCTTGATGGCCTCATAATATCTACCCATCTTTACCTTTTCTAATGTTTTATGAAATTAAATCCCTTACCAAGAGAAAGAAACAAAGTACATTTGACAATATCCCATTAACTCTTCCTTGCTCTGAATTTAATTTGTTCTCCTCATTAATATTTTTGGGTAGCTGTAGACTTATGTTATTTCTGCAGGTCCAGCTGAGGCATAGTTAGCCTAGATTTGTAATCCTTCCCAGCTTATATTAAACTGCTTCTCCCTGTGCAGCAACAGCTGTTTATTTAGGTACTCCTTTTCCTTGTTACAATTAGTATTGTTGTCATGTGCTTTGATTTATCTTTAAAAGCTTTCCAACTCTCAGAAACCATTAGTGTAACACACTGTGGTTTATATTTATACTAACAATTCTTTGTTGCTATGACTACTGTAGATTCTTCTGAGTTAAAAATCTTATATAACAAGTGTAGTCTATTTAGAAGTTATTCTCTTGAGTCATAATACTATATAATGGCAATATGTCCCCTTAGTACTAAGGAGGTATAGGGGTAGAAATTTATTTGAATGCTGATATCTGAATTTTATTAATAATGTTTGATGATTTTCATAGTGCTTAGCTGATTTCCCTACCCTGTACCCCAGGGTGGAGGAGAGTTGGGTCCCAGGCTATAGACAGATTTTTAATTTGTTTGAAATTTGAATTATTTTCCATGAGAAGGTGGGGAGGAGTTGATAGGAAATGATCAGAAACCCACTTTTGACATGTATTAGGTACTACTAAAGCATTTTAGAAAACCTCATGCATTATACCGTGAACTGCCAGACCTACCAGTCAAGTTCAGATACCCAGATAATAATGGCCTTTCACCAAACAACAAAGTACATGGCAGTTTGCAATGTGTCTCTTTTAAAGCCTTTCAGTATTTTTCAGCTTGAGGACCAAACTAATAGTTCTCTTAAGAGCTCTTCTCTGCTCCTCAAATCAACATATTTTGAAAATGTCAGATATTTGCCTAGGAAGCAAATAGAGATGTAGATATACTTTGAAACTAGCAGATATTTTCCCTGGTACAACTTTTCTCTTTTCCTCTAGTTATGTTTATGATCAGTGTTAATGTGTGGTGCAAATAATGACTTGTGTATCTTTCATACTCTGCAGGGGGATGGGCTTTCATTTTTGGCGTGGCTACATCATAGCATTGTGATAACTGAGTCCATTCACATAATGATCTGTATTTAAAAGTATATATCTAGTTTACTTTTTAATACAATTTAATGCTCATGAATGTGCATTTCTCAATCAATTGTACAGTATAATTGTAAATCAAATTCTGACAGCAAAAATATTTTAAAACATTCTTTTCAAAGAGGAAAGATAAAAATTGATACTGTGTCTAGCATTGTTCACTAAAGTACTCATATTCTTCCTTTTGGGGAACCTAATAATGTTAGTCTCAAATAACTAATAACTTAAGCTCTTTTGCTTAAACCAGTCATTGATCTGCAGTCAGACCAGCAGCTAATAAATCTCTGGTACCAGTATAGCTTAGAAGATGGTTTTTAACTAATGGATCTCTGATATTAATAATATAGCTCAGAAGATGGTTTTGAACTAATATTCCAGGGTGATGCCAAGAGAAAAAAAATGTATTTCTGGATATGTTGAATAACTTTCTTAGCACAATTTTATTTTGGTTAAAATTGAGCATTCTGAAGCTAAATGTCTAAAAGGAGTGAACAGTTTTGCTGCTGCTTCTGCTTGGTGTGGAAAACAGTATTAACTATATAAGGTGAATAATTGGTGAAGGGATCCGAGTGAAGATTTTATTCTACATTAATATACATTGTGGAAGTGAAGATGTATTGAATGTCTTGAAATGGAAAAGAGTAAGTTTTTGTTGCACAATGCTTTTTCTAAACATTTACATTTCTTCGATTACTGTGTTCATGTATTCTGAAGAAGAAAATTTTAATAGATTGGTGACAGGGTAGACCCTGAAACTACTAAGGAAAACGCAGAGTGTAGTTAGCCATCTGTGTTCATGGTTTATTAAAATCTAAGTTAATGGTGCTGTACCACTGTCCAAAGAAAATGCCCTAAGTAGTCCTGCCGTCTTAGAGTTTGCTTGATTTATTTTGCTTTTGTATATTTAATAAAAACCGTCTCAAATGTTTCTTTGTGTAGTTTATGGATAATAGTTGAATCTGTGTTAATTGAATTTCAGCAGCTAACTCGTTAAGTCTGGCTTGAGTATGACCAGGACTCTAGATTGTCTCTGTCTCCCCTCACCTATTGTTTTGAGGGAGTATCCCACAGGTTAGGCACAGAAGATACTTTCCAAGAATGTTGGAAATTACATATTATTAAACTTAATTGGACAATTATATTTGAGTAGTACCATGTTTCTCTGTTATGGAATGATTGATGTTTGCCTTACACTTGGTATTAAAGTAGTTTAGTCAAGCATTATTTAAATGTGGAAGGCTTAACTAGCACTTGCAATGGAAATTGAGAAATGCATACACTTTGAAAATTCAATTCATTATTAAAGGATTTGATAATTCCATGCCAGTATTTTCCCTCCATTTTCATAAGTATTCATGAATAAGCTGAATATTTATGTATATTGGGAGAAAGCTAATATAAGGTTTGGTCATGTCAATTTCAGTGACTTCCTAAATTTTAATAGAATACTGTGCTTTTTAAATTGTATTTGGTTGTAATAACAAAATTATGAGAAAGGTCAATCTATGATTACAGCCTGTACTTAAAAAAAATAACTTTCTTGCTACAACTTTTGGTATTTATTTTGTTAGATAAGAAACCCCTTGTTTAAACATTCGGATACTAGTGGGATATGTGACTTTCCAATCTTTCTTAATATTATAAAATCTTAAATTCTAGAAGCAGTGCATATATAAAAGGATTAAAATATTGATTATATTATGGTACATAGTGGTTCTCTGGTCTGAAGTTTTCAACAGCACTAGTCATTGTTTTAAAGTATTCCCTGGTGAAATTAAAGTAGTTCAGCAGCAGCAAGAAGAGTGTAAGACAAAATAAGATTTTTGGTAATTATATAATGATTTAAAAATTGTTCTGATGTGACAGTTACTTGGCCTTGTGTGTAAGTGCCAGTGACCACTGGTTCACATCTGTGATTACCAGTAGCAAAGAGAGCCATGCACCTACCTTATGCGACTCTGAAACCATTGATATCTGTTAAAACAGGTGGCTTTGACTCATTGTATAATTCTATCTATAGTCTAAATGACTGCTTTGGGTAGCTCAATGTTGAATTTAAAGACAAAAAGGCATGTTTAGTGATATAAGTAAGATGAAGGAGAAAATTGAAGATTGTTAATACGTAGATAAGTACTTTATAAATAAATGTGAAAGAAGGATTAAATTCATTATGTGTTGTTTCTAAGGTGAACAAGTGAATGCTCTAAAAACAGCAGTCGTCTGAACCAGCGAATTTGTTGTCTCTGAAAATGTCCCAGCAAATGCAGGATAAACACCTATTGGGCATGATCCAGCACTGGGAGGGAGATGACTAGATGATTTGTAGGATTCCTTACAATTTTGTATGTCTATGAAGTAGAAAAAACAATGGTAAAGATTTTGGGAGGAAAAAAGGGTGAAAGTCATTTAAATAACTTCAGCTCGGGCACTTATACAAATTTTCATACTTATTACTATGTTATATGTCACTCGATAGTTACAAATACTAAAACGAGGTAAAAGCGATAAATAAATGCACTCAAATATTTTTCCATATACTTATTCAGCATTATCTCCACGTAAAATATACCAGGGCAACCAGTGCATTTCTAAAAAGGAAAATTGTACAGTAGTTTTTCTATCTCCTATAAAAGATGAAAGAGACACAATGAAATTTGTCAATAAAAGCTTTAGGAATATCTGCACATACACATTTACAATCAAATTGATAACTAGTAGTTTCACTTCAATACAAATTGTGTTAGAGAGCTCTTAAATTTCAGACACGGTCATATATATACATATGCTGTTTAAAATTTTTTTTTTTTTTATCTAGATACAGATCTTGATAGTGAATCTCCTGATGATAGATGTGCAGCTAGTTTGTCCCGGAACTCATGAAGATAATTATATTGCTGAAAAAAGTAAAGATATATTGAAACACATTGTAGAAAACCAGTTACTGGAGTAGTTACAATACTAGCAGGAATCAGGAATCAAAAGTATTTTCTAAGAACAATTCTATATCCTTTCAGGTAAGGAAGTTTCATGGGGAAGTTTTATCTTTCAGTAAAGCTACATATAATGTGAAAACTATTGCTTTAAAAATCTCTGAAAATCAGAAGGTAGCATGAAATACAGTTGAATGTTTTTAAATCTGATTTCTCCCTTTACTGGCAGAAACAAATAAGATTAAAACTAGTACATGAAGGCATTCTTTTTGCTAATGGGGGTAAATAGGGAGGAGAAGGCACCTTCTGTAGCAATTAACAATGGTATGGGGGTAAGTAGGGAGGAGAAGACACCCGTAGCAATTAACAATGGTATGTTCAAGAAAATCTATTAATTTATAAAAGCCCTAGTTTTCTGCTTTTTTGTGATGACAATCCATTTGGAATAATTTTCATAGCAAATGATATTAAAATTAATTTTAACAGATAAGCAAAAAAAAAAAAAAAAAAACAAACCAAAAAACAAAACTTTATTCAGAATTTTCATAGCTTCCTAGAGGATATTTTTACTTTGCCAGTAATCTCATTTCATCTCACTAGGGAGTTGAAATTGCATAGTGCTAACTTAAATCGGCAGGGATGGGAAAAGCCTGTTTGCCACAGAATGCTGAGGTGATAGGTCGACAGCCCATATTAATATGGGTTTAATTCTCTCCAAGATTAAAGGTGTAAAACATGCATATACATACATATGCACATGTGTTTGACCATGTATTTCGTTTAAAAAAGAGACTTGAGAACATCTTGAATTTGAAGCATCATTTGATTGGAACAGATAATATGGGCAGCTCTGTTTTCAGAACTGTGCACTGAAGTGGGGTCCTGTATGGATTGGTTTTTGAAAGACCTTATTTGAGCACTGAGAATCAGGCTGCTCGGTGAAATTATCAGTTATTATAATAATTCATATTCATGACACTTGGTTAGACCTGAACCCTGGGTAGATGGACTCTGCAGCTCAAGGAGCTGTGTAAAGGCCAGGATCCTTTAGTGCTTGCTCCTGATTTAGTTCTAAAGCTGAGGCTGGGTGCTTGGGAAAGGAGGGCAAGTTAGCTTTACAGAGCTATAGATAAAGTGAAATCTGCAGAATCTTTTCAGCAACATGATTAGTATATAACAATATCCTTGGGCATTGCTACAGCAGTATTTCTGAATGTTAAGGGAAAAGTAAATGTGGAAGATGTCACCCTCGGTTATCCATAGCAAAGAGTAATTAGCATCGCTTTACATTTTTTGTATTATAGTCATTCATCTTTATTAAGTGTTTTGATGATACAATTAGATCTTCATTAGATCTTTTTGGCCGAAAATCTACCCAGGAAACTAACACGCTTATAGTAACCATCTCATTTTTCTAAAATGAGCTGAATGGGCAAAAACTGAACACTGGTAGATCCTGGGAAGTTCCAACTACCTAGAGGAATTTGAATTAGGGGCCTTGCCCATATAAGAGATTATCAGAGTTGACCAGGGCAAACTATTGATTACTGAAAACATGCTTTTCCTGCAATTAACCTTCCGAAGCCCTAAGGTGACTTACTTCCTCCCTAGCTCAGAATGTCATATGTACGTCATTTTCCATTTCTGTCTCTGAACCTCTTGTGCAGATGAGGTCTTCTTTCCTGTGTGTGGAGTTCCCATGCGCACTAAATTAATTTGATTTTCTCTTGTCAATCTGTCTTATGTTGGTTTGATTATTCAACCAGCTGAAAAGAACCAGCAGAGGGAAGGGGAAATTTTCCTCTTTCCCCACAATGCTGAATTACGGTGTATTTGTAAGGGTCTGCTCCCCTAACCACACCCACACAAGAAAAGTCAACCTCCTTACCTTTATGGTCTGTATTGCTCCAGATCCTCTTAGGTCTCTCAGGCTGTCTATGGCTTGCTGTGGTGATACTGTGTCAGACAGATACAGCAGGAGACAAGCGGCTACTAACAGAACATGATAAAAAAGAATAGCATATTATTAAATAATGATAGAGTAGAGCATTTTATATTTAATTAGACTTATGTTGGTACAGAAGACTGAGTTTGGTGTAATTGAAATGAATTAAAAGACTGAGGCCTTATGTGTTTTCGACAGTTAAATTATGATTTTAAATTACTGGTTGAATTAAAGTTTAGCAGTGCCTTCATTCTTTCTTTCTTTTTTTTAATATAGCTTTATTGAGTTATAATTCACATAGCACACAATTCATTCATTTAAAGTATACAATTCAGTGGATTTTAGTGTATTCACAGATACGTGCAGCCATCACCAACCAGTCAATCGTAGAACATTTTCATCATCTCAAAAAACCCCTGCATCCTTTTGTTAAAATCCCCCTATGACCCCATTACCCCTGCCCTAAGCAACCAATTATCTACTGTCTCTATAGATTTGCCTATTCTAGGCATTTCCTATAAATGAAATCATATGTGGTCTTTTGTGACATGCTTCTTTCGCTTTGCATAATGTGTTTTCATACATATTGTGGCATGTACTAGTACTTCATTCCTTTTTGTGGATGAATAATATACCATTGTACGGATAGACATTTTCATTTAGGTTGTTTCTATTTTTTGGCTTTTATGAATAATGCTACTATAAACATTCATGTACAAGTTTTTGTGTGGAAATGTTTTCATTTCTTTTGGGTACATACTTAGGAGTGGAACTGCTGAGTCATATGGTAACTTTATGTTAACTGTTTGAGGCAATACTGCCAGACTGTTTTCCAAAGCAACTGCACCATTTTACATACCCGCTAGCAGTATATGAGGGATCCAATTTCTCCACATCCTCGCATATTTTTTCCGTTTTTTTTGATAATAGCCATCCTAATGGGTGTTAAATAGTATCTCACTGTGGCATTTTCTTGATGACTAATGATGTTGAGCATCTTCTTCATGTGTTTATTGGTCATTTGTATATTTTGTTTGGAGAAATATATATTCAGATCATTTGTCCATTTTGAAAAATTGGGTCATTTGTCTTTATTACTGAGTTATGAAAGCTCTTTATATATCCTAGATGAGCCCCTTATCAGATATATGGTTTATAAGTATTTCCTATTCTGTGAGTTGTCTTTTGATTCTGATAGTGTTCTTTGAAACAAAAAGTTTTCAATTTCTGTACTGTCCAAAACTAAAAGGAATAACTGTTACTCTAATGTGCCATTTCATTAACTGTTCTTTTGTCCCTAACACATTTTTAAAAAGTTTAAGGTAAACATATGGTAATTAACATTGGTTTTCATACTAATGTTACCTGCGAATATTATTTAGAAGCTACTGTCAGTATCATAACACCTGCATAGGGAGAATATTAGAAAACAAAACAAAACACAAGAATGCAGATGCTAAGATGTAAATTATTTGGTAGAATCCACCAAAGCGATGCTGAAAACAACCCCCAGTCTCACCCATTCTTCCTAGGGAATGCCAAATCTAGGGCCTTAAGTAATCCTTTGGAGTTTAGCAGACTTTATTGTGTTTGGTTTCACTTTCATACAGTGAGCATATGGCCCAGAAACAGGAGTTTGCCTACTTTGAAATGAAAAAAAAAAATACTGAATAATGAAAATATATTTCTTACCAAGACAAGATCTCCCAACTCCTCCATAACAGCTGAAAGGAAAGTACAGTTTTGAAATTTGCACATTTTCATTTCATCCCCACAATTACAACTACAGGCTTGTTCTTTCTGCCTCCTAGTTTTAACTCTAATGCCTAGCATAGTGCCTTGCACACTGAGATGAAATATCTGAACACCTCTAAGGGTCAAGGGAGGCAGGGCCTTTTTAGTGACTTCTTTAAATTCCGGGATCCACATCTGAGCAGTGGAACATATTACCGAATAGGTAGGAGTCAGATTGTTTTACCAATGGCCACTTGGATTATTTTTCTCTGTCTGGACAAAATCTTAGTGGTTATGGAAAAAGAGCTGTTGGTATAATAAGTTCATTTATCCAAAGAGAACAGAGGTTGTGTATCAAAGAAGTTTAGAGTATAAGCTCTAGAGTCCCACGGCCTAGGTTGAATCCTGGATCTGTCATTTATTAGATGTATGAACCTAAGGAAGTGATTTAGTTTCTCTGGACCTCAGCCTTTTCACCTATAAAATGGTTTCAGCAATAGTACCTAGATCATAGTGAGGAGTGAATGAGGTAGCATTGTAAAGGGCTTAGAACGGAGCTTGGCACAGAGTAAGAAGTAAATGAATGTTAGTATTGCGAAGATATTAGCAGTTCTGCATAACTGCATTTCTCGGAAAAACGAAGATTAACCCTGAAAGCAACAAAACCATTTTAATCATTTTTGAAGATCCTAAAAAATGCGTTGCACATGTCCTAACTTTCTTAGAGGGTGTGCTGAATCTAACTGGGTGCTGAGACTTAATTTGAACATCAATCACTGTAGTATATTGTAGATGAAGCTCTAGGTACATATCTTGTGATAGGATGTGAGACAGAGGACCAAACAGATGCTGACCTCGAAAGGGGTTCGTGAACTTGCTTTCTACAGTGTCCCAGATGTAGGCCTGTTTCAGAGATGAGGATCTACCATGGAAAGGTAGAGAGAGGTAGAACACTGCAGTGGCTTTCTGAAAGAGTAATACTACTTTAATACTCCTTTATACCTTTTGCTACTCTTATCTTTCCTCCTCTCTCTGATTTCCACTCATCCTTCAAAACCCACCTCAAATTTCATTCCCTGAAATGCCTTTGTGTCTCCACAGAAACCATTGCTGTCCTGTGTGCTATCTCTTACATATCTTGTGTGAATCTCTTTGCACTTATGTGGTAGTGTTGTTAGCTGTGGGTTCCTTGAGGGTGGGGACTATGCCTCACAGGGTGTGTTTTATAATTCAGTTTGGAACACAGTAGGTGTTATGGCCTGAATTGTGTCCCCAGAAAGATATATTGAAGTCATAATCCCTGGTACTGTGAATGTGACCTCATTTCAAAATAAGGTCTTTGTGGATATGATCAAATTAAGATGAGGTCACTAGGGTGGCCCTAACCCAATATGACTGGTGTCTTTATAGGAGAAATATCATATGAAGATACAAACACACAAGGAGGGTCATGTAGTGACAGAGATTAGAGTGATGCAGTTGCAAGCCAAGAATCTACTGCCACCACCAGAAGCTGAAGAGAGGCAAGGAAGTTTTCTGTCTAGTCTCAGAGGGAGTTTGGCCATGGTTTTGACTTTGGGCTTCTAGCTTCCAGAATGGGAAAGAATAAATTTCTGTTGTTTTATGCTACCTAGTTTATGGTACTTTGTTACAACAGTCCTAGAAAATGATATAATATAGTAGGCAAGCAGTGTTCACCGATTTTATAAAGGAATGAAAATGCCAAGGGAGAACTGTGAGAGAGCACTGGTAGACAACAAGAGAGTGAAAAACATTTACCAGGATAAACTCTAGAGCTGTCTAGCAATGTGGGCACTCAAAGATGGTAGAATGGATGGAAAATTGTCTTTGTCCAAACAGTAGTCACTGTACGACACTTTTGAAAGGTGTAGGACAATGAAAATTTCGTCATCAGATGCGATATTTTATGTGAGCCTGAAGTATTTAACATATGCACGGCCACTCACTCATCTTTCCAACCTGTTTGTATTCTGTTCAAACAGAGCATTCAGTACGCTAGAACCTGCTAGAGTGGAATTTGTTGTTTCACTAATCTGAGCTAGTTTGATGCCTGGAATCTTTTTAGTAGAGGCTGCTTTCAAATATTTATTTGAAAAAAAATCTCAGAATTGGTTGGAAAAATGGGTTAAAAAACTGGAAAATATTTTTCACCAGCTACATCTAATTATCTAATGCTATTTTACTTAGATTTAGAAAATTTAGCATAGACAACTATTTAGTCTAAAATTTTGCTTTTACAATTAGTAATTGCTTACACTGAGAGATTATGCTTTTCTCTAGAGAGAGCTTGGAAACCATAGACTATAGAATGGCTTCTATATATTTATTCTCTACTTGGTAGGCTACACTTCTCTGTATATCAGAGTTGAGTTTGGCCACAAACAGTTTTGTGTCCTCAAAGACCCTGTACTAGTCGGTTTGCCTTCAGAATGGTAACTATTGGCATGAGGGCCGTGAGCTCTAGGTGGAAGGAGAGAAGTTGGCTGGGCCAGCCCTGAGACTACCCGGTTACTTGGTGGAGTCTGCGTACTGTTTAGCTTAATGCAATGACTTCAGGGAACTTAGGGCTTTTGTAGTATCAAACTATTTAGTACTCTATCTTGTTCCAATTGGCACAGAGAAGGACCAGTTTGCTACCTGCGGCTGGCTTACTTTCCTCTACTCTGTGTCTCACTTCCGGCAGAGCACCTCTGCTTCTTAACCACAGCACTACTTCTCATCTTTGCTACTGTCTACTGCTGGTTGTCACTCTCTTCATCCTTTCTCCAAAACATTTTTTAAAATTCTTTCATCATTTTTTTCTTAGCCTCTTTTTATTTTGTTTTAAACTTTCATACCAGCAGCTTGTGTAGAACCATAGACAAACAATAAGAGTCCTTCTTTCATTCTGGTAGCAAATTCATGTCATCAATTATAATTTTCAAGACATATTTTTAATATTTCTTATTGCTTAGGGATGATTTCTTTGCTGCTAATTTTTTAAAAAATTGACTCTCTTGCTCTTAGAAGCGATTGAAAGGCTGACCAACAAGTAAGGTTAATGAGATGAACGCCTCACCTTTTTTGAGAAAGGGTATCTCAAAATAATAACTAAAGGTCTAAGGCAAAATGAAAGAAAAAAAAAGCCTGTAACCCTATTCTAAAAATTTTCAAATCTACTTATTTATTGTCCTTACTCTTCAAAAGTTATGACAGCAAATATCTGCGTACACGCTCTGTACCAGGCATTGTGCTAATACTTTTCATCCTTTATCTCTTTTTGATCCTTGCAACAAATTACAAAGTAGGTAGTAACTGAATGAGGATGCAGTAATTCAAAAAATCATTCTGACTGGTACATTTCTCATGTAATGAATGGAGAAAAGGAGAACTTACTGTATTAAGGTTTTTCGATTATTTTTAAGGCAGATTGCAAGCTCCTCCATTATTTCGCAGCAGCTGGCTATGTCAGGAGTCCCTCCATCTGGGATGGGATGATGATGCGTGACAATTCCATATTGCTGGTAGAGGTCCAGGAGGTTTGGGACTCTATATTTTGACAGTTCCCCTCTGGTGCAGAAAACAAATATGTCTTGTATACCATAGCTCTTTAGTTCTTCTGCCAATAGACCAAGATACACAGACATACATATTCAAAACATTACAAATTTAAATATGGTCAAGAGGGAGAATATGGAGTTAAATTTCTTAAACTGAGTAAATAACAAACAATAATCTATAAATTCGAAGTGCTTATTGATAATCTAAAACGTATCGATCTGTCTTCAAACTAGGGTAAAAATCAAGTCACTAAGCACAAAATAGGATTTAGAAACATCTGAACTGAAAGGTGATTAAAATTAAATCTGACTTTATAATTCAAAATGCTTTTTACTGAATTTTAAGATGAGTCAATTATATTACTATTCTTGAGAAATAATTTTATAATACATGCTGCTTTAAAACAAATTTAAAAACATATAGTATTTTAAAACAAACTCTGAAGAAGGGATGATAATACATTTTTTTCCTGTTTTTCTTCTCATAAAACCAACCATGTTTGCTACTTTCATCACTCTGTTTTTTGTTTACCCTAAGCATTGTACAGAAAATCTCCGGCATGGACATGGTGCCAGTGTTCTTGTATTCTCCCCTATATTTGTTACTGTACCACACCATCATGTATTTAATTTTGGGACTAGGTCTCCAGGAAATAAAACATTAACTGTATTAGAATTATGTAACTTAGACACTTTCACTATAATGAATATGATCCATCCAAGCAACAGTACTGTGGACCATTCTATACACTGGAACTTTCTTATGGCAATATTTACTATAGAGCATTTGGTTCATAATGAATAACTAATTCTGGGTGACCTGAGCCTCCTCGCCCCTCCTGCCTCCTAAATACAACAAGATTTAGTTATTTAAATATAAAGTACCTTTGATCATGAACCTCTAGATTTACACTGAAATGTAGCTAGTCCAGATTGAGATTTTTTCTAAGTGTAAAATACATATGTGATTTAAAAGATTGAGCACAAAAAATCTATCTCATTCATAATTTGTTTTATAATCAAAGCCCATTGAAATGATACTATTTAAGCTATATTAGGTTAAATAAAAATATTGTTAAATTAATTTCACCTGTTTTTTACTTTTTTAAATGTGGCAACTAGAAAATATAAAGTTACATATATGGCTTCTGTTTGTGGCTCCCATTATATTTCTATTGGATGGTGCTGCTCTAGATAATACTATCACATTTTTGTACTTCTAAAAGGATTTAACATGTTGTTAACGTACTTAACCATTTTTAATGGTAGGTAATTTTCTATTTGCCTCTTGTACACACTAAATAATTTCCATTATACAGTGGTTTTCAAACTTCCTAGAAAGGACTCTTAGGAGGAACTACAGGAACAGCTGCAGGGAGATTGTAGGCCTCCTCCATAAAACATTGTCATCCGTTTTACATATTGGATTCCATTTAAGATTTCATTGGAAAAGAAAGGGTTTGCTAAAACACTGGAAACCCCTCTTTCAGAAGATACTAAATGAATAGGTCTTTTCAAAATGTGCAAGATTGGTACTTTACATTATATTTTGTGTATGACTTAAATATTTTCCAAATGAAAATTTCCCACCATGGTGTGTGTCTCTAAATCAGAAAATCTTTACAAAATCTGCAAGGGTCAACTAATCTATTAGCCTCTTTAAGTCTTTTTTGGTAGGTAAGGAATAAATTAGAGAAAGTATATCAGCAAATTGATATCCTAAAAAAAACAGAAAAAAAATTTTAAGATTTAAAAAATCTATACTGGTCAGAATCAAGCAATATATACATTTTTATTTTGATGTTTTATAAAGACATTGGCAGGACTATTAGCTTTGAGATATTCCAGGCCAACCAGAAAAAAATATTTTAAAAATACAAGATTTTAGTATCATGCAATATGTAAACTCCAGTTGGGATCATTAGACTCGAGGTTACAGTTGTATGGACATCCGTGGGCATGCAAAGATCGGACACCATTCCATCTTCCCCACCTACATGCTGGCTCTCTACATTTTCTATCCAGACAATTTCTACTATCACAGTCAAGTCTGTAAAGAACAGCATGTTCCAAGATTTGTGCAGTGCAATGTCAGTTTTCTATTTACATACTTTTCTCTCTCCAACTTTTACATTCTAAACTCAAATGCAATTTCTATATATAACTACGACAATCAGTGAAAAGCAATGCCATGCCTAGTAAATGAAGAGTTTTCTGTGTTCTTCATAAATACCTATTCACTTATTAGATAAGTCAGTAGTTTGAAATTTTAGGAAATATCAAATATTTATTTGATATACTGAGAAAAGACTACAGTTTGTTCTTTTTGACAGATATTTTCAGTGTTATGAAAAAAAACTGTTAATACAGTTGTTTTCTATTATACCTACCTGTATCCTTTTGGATATTTCTTCTAATATCTTTGAATTTACAACCTATAAGTAGTAATAAGACAAGTGAAAAAGTCAGATCTGGGTCATACATAACAAGTATATTTAAACATGGATATAGCTACTTTGGAAAGTCATCCCACATGATCATTTATATGTTCAAATTCCATTTTGAATATGAATTTCAATTTCTTATATCCTTAAGAATATAATCCAGGGATTCTGTGTCTTTTCTGTAATAAGTACCTAGCTATCGTCCTCAGCTTCACATTGTACCACAGTGTTTAAATTTTCATAAGACAGGTAAAATAGAAAGGTAGAACTGTGAATGTGGATCAGAAGGGTTGAAGAGTAGATCTATGTTCCTTTACCTATAGCCCCCATGAAGGCTTCCCCAAAGTGAATTCCCCATACAGATAAATGGTCTGTGAAATTCTCCTATTGCTCAGTACAGAAAATGATATGTTAGCTGACAACAAAACAAATCAACACAAAAGAAACACAAAATGGTGTAATGTATCAATAAGAAGCCAGCTGTAGTGGTACCTACCTGGAAGAGCACATAAACCAAGAAACTGAGAACAATTCACACGTGACAAGGGGAGCCTGAAAAGAATAAAACTTTATCAAGCTTAGTTCAATTTTTTAAAAGTTACAAAAGTTATAAATGGAAATTCAATTTAACCAAAGTGCATGCTTGCCACCAAACAAAGGTATTTTAAAGTTTTACAGTAGTCACAAAACAAAAATTTATAATTAAATATCAATGGTCACAAAAAGGCCTAGCAGACTGGAAATTTTTGAAACAGAGACTTATCATTTGTTTTGTTACAGTTTAAGTTTTAAAAGTGGCAGGTTAATTTAAACTTACCATAATGATGATAATGCCTAGATTGCCTACAACTAGTATAAAGTATACTTAAGTTTCCTATGGTATGTTACCTGAGATATTTTGTCTTAATAACCTTAGGTAATAAGCTAGAAAATGACCATCTGACAATTTTATCCTGAGCATTCATTCTATTTTAAGATTTCTTTGTAGGACTTCCTTAAACGGATATAATTTTATATGATAAAAACCATAGGCTACCCATTCTTTGTTGTAATGGATTTTGGTAAAAATGAAATAATTTCAAGAAATCATAGTCCCAGTTTGTAGTACTCAGGGACAATGAAGGCAGAGGCTCACCTTGTTTGCAAGACAGAAGATGAGTTTAGAGGAAAACAGGAGGCAGCATATAAATAGCACTTGAATTAGAAAATTAGATGAGTTTTTAATTTAAAAAGGGGGTTAGAAAGAGCACCGAAAGATAATTGCTATTTGATGGCAGAACAAAAACTTTAGGGACAACACTTACATTCTTTTTCTCTTCCTATAGTAGAGAACAGTGCTTTCTTAAAGAGAAAGTATTACATTTACAGGTATTAGAGAAAGCATTTGATTGCTGGTTATAGAGAATCTGGTATAACCATAAATCACTGCCAAGATTTAGAAGTTGATTTTATATAGAAACGTGCTTTTGTTATTGTATCTATGATAATGTGGCTTTTACCTTAAACAGTGTCTGCTGACAGATGCATTACAGAGGCACATAGTTCTAAGATTTGACTAAATGATAAATGATTAAATGTTTCATACTATGTTTGGTACATTAGTCTTTTGTCATAAAAGAATAGGTAAGTTTTGGTACTAAATGGGAGATCATTCTAGTCTGATCTCAACTTCCTTGTTTCTGTTATGATTTTCTCAATGTATAAAGAAGGGCCCAGAATCCCCTAAAAGCCTAATTTTATCATGGACAGTAATCATGGAGTTAGACGACCCTTAAAGATTATAATTATATAAATAGTAGAAGAGAATTATTAAATATATTCAATATGTGGACTACAATCTACAAAGATTATGATGTACACATCAAAAATTTTAGCTCATCATTGATCAGAAATGTTAACATACCATGATATCTGAATTGGAGTCTGTTCATCTTCAATAGGCTCTTCATCTGATGAGTCAAACTCACTTGTTTGCAATGAACTAGGCTTCAAAAGAAGTCAGTTATGTTAAATCACTGTAATGAATATTTATATATAATCTTAGTATAGCTGATCTTTGCTTAACACACACTGCATATTTGTAATTTATTCAATATGGAATATCAGAGAGATCGGCAATATCAATAATAAATTATTGTTATTTACCATCCTATACATAATTACGACACTATGTAGTGGAAAGAGTTGGTTCGGGAATCAAGAAACCTGGCTTCTGGTATTGGCTCTGTCACTTACTGTATAATCTTGGACAAGCAACAAGAGTTTATTCTGGATCTCAGTTTTCCACAGCTATAAAGTGAGGAGATTAACTCATTTATTTGCAAACATTTCTTGGACATCTTCATTCATCAAGTTCTGGAGAGTAAAGATCCATAAAATAAACAGCCTACCTCCGGTATAGCTGGATACACAGATGTGTGCACAGATTACTGGAGGAAGATGTAAGTGCTAAAACGAAAGCATAATCAATGCACTTTAGAGCAGAAAAGGGAGCGACTAATTAGGGTGCTGGAGGAAGCTTCACAGAGGAGCTGCATAACTGGGTTTTGAAGGATAAGCAGGAAGTTATAGGCAGATCAAGAACAAGTGAAGGCAAAAGGAGAAAAGGCTTTGGGAATTGTGATACGGCAGAGGAGATAAAGCTAGAGATGTAGTTTTACCTACTCCATTTCTCAAAAAATGACCCCCATACAGCCTAGTAGTTCAGTTACTGGGGGAGGGGACGTATAAACGGAATAACCTGTGAATCACTGGATTAGAGAGATTGAGATGGACTTTGTGTGCTGACCTAAATAAGGAGTTGTAACTCAATGCTGTAGGCATCGTGTATACATGGAAGACTGCTAGAGTTTTATAGGACCAATTAAAAAAACACACCTTTTACTTTCTACTTGGAACCAACTGAGAGATAAGAAACTTGAGAGGTGAATGGAGATCAACACATTAGTTTTATTATTGAGTATCAAATAGTGGATATGGCTTTAAAGCTGTGATCAGGTGAGCTTGTCATTTCTTCACTCCAGAATTGGATTCATCCATCCAGTCACTGGCAGCCAATGACAACCTAGGGCTCCAGGGTGGCAGAGAGCACTTCAGAAAGTACTCTCTGCAGAGAGAAGGAAGAAAGGGTAGGGCTACTTGTGTTCAGCTTCTCTCAAACTTGAGGATCAGATTACTCACGTATCCTCTTCTGAGGACAAGTGGAGAAAATGGCCAGGAGAGAAGGACAGCTGATGTCCCTCCACATGATAACATCGGGATAAGTAAGTGTAACCAGTCCTTTTAAGTAAGTGTAATGTCCTTTTAGCTCTGAAGCTATATTCTATAATGGTCTCGTTTGTTATTACAAGATTCCACTACAGAGCCAAATTAGAATATGGTTTTGAGTTGCTTTGGCTCTATCTGTATTATTATTATCAGCTCAGCTCAAATGAAGGCCCTTCAATAACGTTGTCGACGTTGTGAATCAGTTGGGACTTCAGCGCCTTGCATCTATTTTTTTCTTTCTTTCTCTTCAAAGCTGTTTTAATGATTCAAGATTTTCAATTCGTGTGGCCAACTTACTCAGGCTCTCCTAGCCAAGTTTACAGATCCTAACCGAGTTTGACATTTCCGCTCTCTCAGGAGCAGGGATTCTGAACCCCTGGGAAAAGCACACAGTGCCAGGTGGCCTTGGAGGATGGTGATAGTGGTGACAACACCCACAAGCGCAGGTTGGCAATCATCTTTCATGAAATTTTCCTAATCTCCGGTGAGGACTACTCCCCAGGGGGCACAGGGTAGCCGTGGACATTCTTTGGGGCTGCAATATCAGGCAGACTGGTACACCGAGACACGTAAGCTCTAGAAGCCCCAGTTTCTTCGGTAAAATGGGGCTCAGCCCTCTCCGGCAGGGCTGCCGTGAGGCTTAGGCCAACCTGCAGGCGACAGCCCACAACAGGCGCACAGTGAATGTCCGTCTTTCCTTGGCTCGCCACTGACCCTGTTCCTTCTCAGTCATCGCTCTCGCCTGAAGTGCCACCTCCCTTACCCAAGACGGTTGCTGCGTTGAGTCATTCCGCGACCAAGCCTAGGCTGTCCCTGGGCCCAAGAACTGGCCTCGGGACCGCTCCCATCCCTGCAGCTTCGCTCCTCCAAGTTTCAACCCAACTCACCGGCTTCATCGCAGGCTGCCCCACGTCTTGACCACCACCGCCTCTCTGGGGCAGCACCGGCGTCTCGCAGCCCCAAGTGGACACCGTCTCTCTGCTCAGGTCATTGGTACATCCTTCTGTGAGGTGGGGCGTGGTGTCTTCTAGGAGCCAATCACACCCTCTCTCTGTTTCTTACTCCGCCTCCGGATGCCTAGGCTCGGCCTCTCACCGCTCATTGGTTCTTAGATGGTCTTTGAAAGACGCGCGGGAGGAGGGCTCTGTTGAACTTTGATTGGCTGGGAGAGCGCGCTCCTTGTACCAGTTGGGACCGTGAACGGGGCCGAGCGGAAGCGTCTAAAGGCAGCTCCAGCGCTTTGCAGGTGCCGGGGAACCCCTGCTTCCCTCATGACAGGATTTCATAGTGGTATCAGGGTAGGGAGTTTTGTTTTGTTTTCTTTCTTTCTTTTTTTTTGTTTCGTTTCCTTAAGAAAAAGTTTAAGGGCATGAGCGGTGGGGAAGCATCTTATGAAAACACAGCACATCCCATAGACAAGCGGTCCCCAACCTTTTTGGCACCAGTGCCCCTATGAATAGGTGGAGCTGAGGCGGTGGTACTAGCGCTGGGGAGCTGCTGTAAATACAGATGAAGCTTCCCTCCCACCCTGGCGCTCACCTCCTGCTGTGCAGCCTAGTGCTTAACAGGCTATGAACCAGAACCGTCAGCAGCCCGGTGGTTGGGAACCCCTGCCATAGACTTTATAATTATGGGTACATCTAGTCATGCAAATACTATGGAAATGGCTAAACAATTTGGAATATAAAGTTACCTTGTATGATATTTTATGTTCTTTATCATTCTAGGATCTAGACTGGTTAGGGTGTAGATCAACCTTCCAGTTTACTAAATATGAATGAAATAATATTGTATGAAGGGAAGATAAAAATCTCCAGATGGTTCCAAGATGGTTCTTACATAACGGGCTATAATCTTTATAAAATATGTTTGATTATTCTCTTCTCCATTCTCCAGGCTCTATTTTGCTGGCCATGGGGAAAGAAGTCACCTGGAGCAATATCACCTGCTGATCTGACAAAAACATGCAGAAGTTTCAGCTCCCTGACTCGTGTTGTGGAAACCAGTGGATATAGAGCTATTAGGAAGAATTCTTTACTAAAGAAGTTTGACTTAGAGACTGTATCAGTCAGGGTTCTCCAGAGGAGCAGAATCAGTAGGATATATTCATAAAGAAATTTATTTTAAGGAATTGGCTCCTACAATTGTAGGAGGATTGGTGAGTCCAAAATCCTATGAGGGAGGCTGGGGGCTTAAGACTGCGGAAAGAGTTTCAGTGGGAGTTCAAAGGCAGTCTGCTGTAAAATCGAGACTAGGTGATGCTGCATATGAAGTCTAAAAGTTGTCTGATGCCAAGTGCCCTCTTGACTTTTTCTTCTATCCAGGCTTTCGACTAATTGGATGAGACTCAGCCACATTATAGAGAGAAGTCAGCTTTACTCAAAGTCTATCAATTTAAAAATTAATTCCTTCCAAATACCCTCACAGAAATATCCAGAATAATGTTTGACAAAATGTCTGGGCACTATAGTCCAGACAAACTGATACATAAAATTAGCCATAACAGACACATCGGACTTGATTCATCTATTCTTTGACGTTAATAAATATTGAACACCATCTGTGTCCTACATACTATTCAAAGTGCTTGGAATACCAGAGTGAACTAAACGAAGTCCCTGTATTCATGGGGCTCACATGCTATTGGGGGAGATAGTCAAGTAGTGATAAGTGGTGTGAAGAAAAATTAAAACAAGCAGAACCTGATGAGGATGCTATTCTAGACAGAAAAGTCAAGGAAGGCATCTTTGAAGAGATGTCATTTGAGAAATACCCAGAGGAAGAGAGTGAATCATTTGAATAGTTAGGGAAGAGCTTTCAATCTGTCTGAAGAGTAAGGAGGTACAAAGGCCCTGAGATGGTAATGTCCTAGGTTATTCAAAGAACAGCAAGGAGGCCAGACCAGGAGAGGCTGACTGAGTGAGGTAGAATGGTAGGAAATAGGGCAGAGCCTTGTGGGAGGCTTCAGAGCATCTTTGCTGAAGGATTCAAGAGAAGTTCCAGAGAAAGATTAAGACCTGGGCTCTAGGTAAGGTAATTCATATCTCTATGGCACAGGGGAGCAAGTCCTTTCTGGGCAGGTTTCAGGATGAGGATACTCCCTCACTTCCTAACTCTTGCTTTCTTGCCATTTCTCCCCATGTTGTCTCCACAGATGTTGTCTTTAATCTTCAGCATCAAGTGTCCCTTCCATTTCCTCAGATCATACCTTCCCCCTTGGAATTAACGAAGCCCAGCCTCTTCGAGTATTTTGCACATTATGTCACCTCTGGCCTCAGCGGGATATGAACACAATCTCAGTCTGTTCTGGCTCCTGCTGTTTCTGCAGAGAGGAGAGGATGAGCTCCCATGCTAGGAAGGGGGGTGGAAGGGTGGGATAAGTTGGACTATTTCAATTTCTGTTTGTTCTCTCTACCAGCAGGGCTGTGTCCAGGCTTTGTCTTTACCCGAAAACAAACACATCTTACCTTTGTGATGTAGTTTTTTTTGGGGGGTGGTCTAGTCCAGGGGTTGGCACATTTTGGCCGATGGACCAAATCTCACAGGCCTGTTTTCATGACATTTTATCGAAATACAACCACACTCATGTGTTTAAATATTGTTTATGGCTATTTCTGTGTTTTAACTGTAGAGTTGAATAGTTGCAGCAGGGACTGTATGGCCTAAAAAGCCTAAAATATTTACTGTCTGGCTCTTTACAGAAAAAGTTTGCCCACCTCTGGTGCATAGTCTATGACAGAAATGTATATTTTTTCTAATAATATGACTTTAAGTCTATTTCTTACAAAATAAAAGTCTCGGCCTTATTATGCTAAAATATTTTCTTCTACTTGGCTTGGTCCCTTTAATTATGGAGGTTCCCACATAAACTGACAAGGCTTGTGGCTGAGCCATCTGGTTAAATGGCCTAACAGTAACTTGGTTTCTTCCTAATTTCCAGGCATCTCCCCTGAGAGGAGGAGTGGAGCTTAAGTTCAGCCTGTCACACCTGTAGTTTTCAGTTAATTTTTGGTGTGTGACTCATGGCTGTTAACAGAAATGTGTGTGGTCAAAACAGTGTAGAAGACTTATCCAAACGAGCAAACATAAAAGTGTTTACATATGTTCATAGATGAGTGTTTTAAGAGATGCTCAAAGAGAAATGAAACGTGATTGCCATCAGTAGTTGCACTAGGATGTATATTTTACAACTAGATCTATATTTAAAAAATATTTTAATATTAGTACTAATAGATTTGACATGTGTGTTAGGGAGAGAACACTGGAATCTTAGAGTTAAATGCAACTCGAAGAGAACATACTCCTTCATTCCTGACACAAGTTTAAGAATTTCTTTTGCGATGACAGTCAGATACAGTATATGACATTTGCAGTAGAAGTGTTATTTTCCCATTGTTTCTTTCTTTGATGAATTACTCCTTTCCCATTTCATGTCATCTTGTGGGCATGTGACTGGGACTGACCCATACATGTACCCTATTCCTTTGGTCACAGTTATTAGTCCAGGGAATGCATATGATGTAAACTGGAACATCCTTCCTGGTCTTGTTTGCTTTGATTGCCGGAGCTCTTATTTTCTTCTTTACCTTCCTAAGATTTCTGCTTTACCTCAGAATGATGCAGAGTTCAAATTTGCCCTGGGTAATTGGAGTAGACTGTAAAATTTATTTAAAATATTACTTACAATTTGAAATGTCATTGGATTTTTAAATTGGAATAGATTGTCTTTTCTATAACAATTTCACCCATCCCACATTACTCTTCTGCAATGTGACTCTGCCATGCTCCATCATGAGGTGGTGTATAACACTCCTCTTGAATATGGGCTGGCCTTAGTGACTAGTTTGATGAGTAGAATGTAGCAGAAGTGACAAATAATAAGCTCGATAAAATTTCATACCCATAACCAGTACCCAGATCAAAAAATGGAACATTACCAACCCCCAGAAGCCTCCTTTTATGTGCCTGTCTGCTATCTCCTACAAGGTCACCTCTGTTTTGACTTTTGAAACTATTGCTTAATTTTGCTTGTTTGCGAATTGTATATAAATGGTATCTTTTGTGTCTGGCTTCTTTAGCTCAACTTTATGTTTGTGAGTTCATTTATGTTGTCATATGTGGTTATACTTGTTCATTCTCGTGGTAGTATTTCATTGTTTGAATATACTAAAATGTATTAATCCAATCTGCTGTTGATAAACATTGAGTAGTTCCAATATTATGAATAGCGCTGCTAAAAACATTCTTGTCCATGTCATTTGGTAAACATACACATACATTGCTGTTGGGTGTATACTAGGAATAGAAGTGCATATGTTTACCTTAGTCAATATTGCCAAACAGTTTTCCGAAGAGGTTGTACCAATTTACCCTTCCACTTCCAGCTGCTGTGCCAACTGTGCCTTCTCTGTTGCTACTAAAATTACCGTCACAGGATTTTGCTAATCCTTGAAATTTTAATGAAACAGCTTTTTTTAAAGTTTCACTGGCTTTTTAAAGCCATGGAACCTGGGTCATAGGACATTGTCCTATGACCCAGGTAAAATCAGCCAATGTCCTATGACCCAGGTAAAATCATCCCTCCCCTCTGGCCCTGTCTTGATGTCATCGAACCCAGTGTGTGTACTTTGACTTTTCCCTTAGGGTGAGCTGCTTCCCAGGAGTCCCCTGGCCTCTCCTGTGTACAACCCCTAGCAAGATTATCTCGCCCTCTGCCAGCTGTGTCCAGGATCCGAAACCCGTGGTCTCAAGCTAGGATGACCGCATATCCGTGTTGGCCTGGGTTTGTCCTGGTTTAATGACTGTTGTATAGCTATACTTAATAACAACTCTTTTGCTTTCAAGTGTCCAGGTTTAGGTGGTAAATTATACGGTCACTTTCTCTCAAGCCATCTCTAGGAAAGTTTTCCAGAGGTAAAACAGAATCAACAGCACATTTTACTTTATCTTATTTTATTATTTATTTATTTATTTACTTTTAGGCGAGGCAACCCTTGGTTGACCTCACAGATTACAAAGACCTTGTCAGTTTACAATCTCTTATTTTTTATTTTTTACGCCTATAGCACCTGGTCTTCCTGGGTGGTCTCCCATCCAAGTACTAACCAGGCCAGATCCTGCTTAGCTTCCGAGAGCAGATGGAATCGGGCTTGTTCAGGGTGGCACGGCCATAGACTTAACAGCACATTTTAGAACAGTCAAGAAAGAATATGCAGAAAAGAATTTTGAACTCCGAAGGATGGTGCTGGCATTGCAATGATCTGCCTCGCTCGCTGCCCCTGCTTTTCTTCTCAGCCCCAACGTTGGCAGCCACTTGACTCCACCTACAGGTTCTTATCTGCTCTAGTCCTAGATGGAAAGAGTTGGAATAGATGGTTCTGAAACTCAGTTGGAGGTGTTGGGCCCATCTGGTGTGCCTTGTGTCTAGTTTTCCTAATCTGGCTTCTGCTGTTTTCTTGAGATAGTTTCTGTTTCATTCATATGTTAGTTCTGAGTGGGGATCGATTATTTCTTGCCATTCCCCCATCCCCAGCCTGCCTTGGGACTGGACTCTGGCTCCTGACCCTCAGGCAAATTAGTCCTGCTGTCCACTGTCAGCTTTCTCCACATGGCCTGTCCTACCCTGGTGCCTGCCCTCCTCCTCCCATCATTTTGTCACCTCTTGTCACACTTGCATGTGGATTCCCACTAGGAAGGCAGGGTGCCCCATCAGAAAGGGCAAGGGCATTGAAGTCAAAAGGCCTGGATTCAAAAGAGTCTAACTTCTGAGCTCAGAGAATTTCCTAGTGACTTTGACTGATATGAATCAGTGATCAGGGGCTAGATCTGTCTCTGGGAAAATCAGATTTCTGAACTTGAGGAATGAAGGCTGTACTTCAAAGAAGCTGGGAAAGAAAGCTCGGAACAGCTGGTTTGATTTTCCACCTTCCTGTGAGGAGGCAGTTTGGCCAGCTCCTGAAGGTGAGCTACACATCTTCCCCAGTTGCTACAGCCCAGACAGCTTCTTACAGAGGAGTGTAACCAGCGCCTTTTCCCCATCCCATCTCATTGGTTTTGGGGAAACCAATTTGAGAAATATGCCATGAGTAGTGAAGAGTCTGATACTCTTAAATCTTCTGTTTTTCAGTAATACTTAGTTCATTTTCAACCTAATTTAAAATAAGAAGGAGCATATTTTCATCACTTTGTACTAGAATGAATTCAGAATGAGATGGAAACATGTATAAATATTCACATTAATGACCTAAAATATAGAACAGAAATTGGCAAGGCCAACTAGATAATAGTTCTGTTCTTCCTGGAATGGGAGATGGCAATAGAGAAAAGTAGCTTTTCAGTACACATCTCCCTCCCATACAGAAATCCCCAGTGTGAGACTCAGATCTGATTAAATGAGTCAGGCTTACATTTATTACAGTATATTACAAACATTTTTCAGCAGTCAGAAGTGACTGGTGTCTCCGTGGATTTGGCTAGTTCCTGGCAATTATGCACTTGGCTGCTAGTATAAATCAGTGTGCCAAATGCCTGGAATGACGATCCAGCTCTGAGCGGCTTTCAGTCTGGGGAGGATGTTGTTCAAACACCGCGTTCCTTCCCAGGGTGGCCAAGTCCTGGTTACAGTTCTGTCCTTTAAATCCATTTATCCTGAAACTTGACCAGAGAGGATAGGGCCACATCCCTTGCCCCTTTCAGCTTCCTTAGCAAACACCTGGGGGACCGTGCATGGATTTTACAGCATCTGTCTGCCGCTGAGTCCAGAAGTAGTTTCGTGCCTAGTTACTTAATCAGAAAATCACATTCTGAACATAACATGTCAGACGGATTATTAGAAGACACTGATCCTTTCAGAGACTGTTAAGTCTTGAGGCCTGGCCAAATCTCAAACTGAGTTATGGCATTCTTTTTCTGAAATGTCCTTCCAGTTTTATTTGAATGAGTACTAACCAATTTGTCCTCAAATGTAGCTGATTCACACTTGTTCTTTGTGCTTCAGCCCCTTACTAGGAAGAGAGGCTGTTGCCTGGCATGTCCTGTATGGCAGTGGAAGCTGTGAGAAAAAACCAAACACTTTGTGGGAACATGAGTAGGGATTATCTTGGCATATATGGAAAGGACTAGATAGAATGTGTACTCTATGAGGCAAGACTTTTTCTGTCTTGTTAATGACTGTAAACAGTATCTAGGCAAGCATCTGGCTCATAATAGCCACTAAGTATTTGTTGAATGAATAAATAAGTAAATGAATAAGTTTTAGCCTGCTCTCTTCTTTATTGCACAGTAAATATCATTTTGCCCATTCTTTATTCTCTTTTATTTTCCCCATTTTCTTTTTATTCAGTTCGAAGCAATTAAAAGCATTTTCTTTACTAAATGGGGCAAATTGAAAGTAAATATAGCTGCCTTGACTGGGGCCTTATGTGTACTTGTCAGTCTTTTCACTTATTCCTGCTCCCTTCCTCCCCTAACCTTCACTGCTCTCCTCAAGAACTGGCCCCCTTCCCCTGGCTCAGCCTGTGACCTCACCTTCCTTACAGAGAAAAATTTGTCTGCACCTGTAACATCATGTGGCCATGACAATGCTCACCTCTTTTCCTATAGTTCAAACAAGGCATCCCTTCTATACAAGACAGATCCCTTCCCTTCCATGGAATCTTGCAACAGTGGTTTTCTGCCTTCTCCTCACTTTTGGCTTCTTGATAGCCCACAGAAGAGCTCAAGTCTCTCCAATATTAACACACACACACAGACACAGACACACAGACACACAGACACACAGACACACACACACACACACACACACACACACACACACACACAGAACGACCTCCAAATCTAAACTAGTTCAATATTTTTTACCCTTACAGCCTAGTTTTTTAATAGAAAGCTCTGCATTCAGAGATTCTACTTTTTCACTTCTTGTTTATCCTATGATCCTTCACAGAATTAAACAAGAAAAAAAAGTTTTTTTCAGAAGGAAAATATGAAATCAAAAAATATGTCTCTCCTTTAAGCATAGAAATATATATTTTTTTCTTCGCTAGCTAGCTAGATTTATTAGGATAAGTACATACATCCCAAATCGCGTTTTATCAAGAAACTTTCTGTTGGTGAAATATCTTGACAACAAAAGAGAAAAATAAAAGAAAAATTTTTTATTGTAAAACTTGTTTATAATCCAAGAGGAAATCCACATTTGGACCCCTTATACTGAAGTTTGTTTTAAGGTTGGTGGACTGGCTAGGTGAAAATAAATAATGATTCTTAAATTGAACCAGTTTATTTAAATGAGCCAGCAGGACATTTGCTTATCTTCTTTCCTGAGGTGCACAATTAGAAAAGGTATAAAAGAAAGGCCGTGTAAACTCCTCTTGGTTAAAGGGGACAATTTTAAGTGACCTCTTTTTCTCGTGGTAAAGTCCTTTATAAAGTCATTTCTGATATTTTTTTCCTGAATCTTAAACACAACATAGTGTCTTTTGTTTGACTATTATCTTTCACACCAACCATGCTTAGAATTCTGGGCCATACCTCTGTATTCTTCAGGTATGCTCTGTGAAGGTCACCTCCTGATGGCATTCTCCTGTCACATTCAATGAACATCTAAGGCGACCTTTCTGTGATCCTTGATTCTGATGTCCGATCCCTTCTTGAAATTCCCTCTTCCTTTAATTCTGAAGGAGTGAGCTCTCCTAGCTCTCTCCGATTCCTCCTCTTCTGACTGTCCTGGAAACTCGGGGTCCTTTCCTTGGCTTTCTTTTAACAACCCATAACCCCTCTCCCCCTGCTCCCCTCCTTGGCTGACTTATGGATCCTAATCTCCACCTCTAGTCCTTACCTCTCTTCTGAGTTCCAGACCCATGTACACAACTGCCTCCTGCTTTGATGGCCCTCAGGCAGTAAAGCTCAAGGCTGGAATTATGGTCCCTTCCTCTAACTTGCTTTTCCTCCGTATCACTGTAGACCCACATCTGAACATCATCCTGTTCTTCCCTGCCCTATCTTCTCCATATTTAACTGGTGACTAAGTATTGCCTTTTCCACGTTTTTGGCCCCCTTCTCTTCATCGCCACTGCCACTGCCCCAGACCAGGCCTTATCAATTCCCACCTGGAATACCGAGTTTTCCACCTGCTTCCTTGTTTCTGCTCATTCACTTCTCCAGTGCATTCTCTGTGTGAATCATTTGATGATGCCAGAGCGACCATTCAGAAATGCAAATCTGATCATGTCATCTCTCTACTGAATACCCTTTACTAGCTCCCCACTGTTGAGGAAGTTCAAATGTTGAGCATAGCATAAAAGATTGTTAATTGAGCTATGTATCTTAGCTTTCTTGGGGATCTGAGACTCAGAGGCCTACAGTGGAAAGAACAGTAGGAGTGGTGGGTGGGGGGTATAAATTGGAGACTTTATAATCCCATCTAAAGGGGATATTCTTTGGTTCCAGTCAGTGGTTGCCAGGTGGGAATTTGGGCCCAGTACAGCCAAATTAAGCTTTTTTTTTTTTTCCATGACAAACTGGATTTTTGTGTTAAATGTTCTGTTTTTTAAATGTTGGAAACTAATTTAAAAATTAAAAACACTGTGTGGTAGTTCATTATGAAAATGAAAAAGCAAAACACGCGATCTGTGGACCAAATTAAACACATCTGTGTAAGCTTATGCAAGATTGGTGCCTATATCTATAAACTCCCCCTGAAT